TTAAATGATCATTAGTATTTATCCTGCTGTGCAACAGTGCGTTGCATTGGACAAAAGACTTAAGCAACGAACTTTTTTCTTTTCTGTTTTTATAATCTCAATAAATCAAGTTTGCCACGAAGTTTGTAAAACCTAGAAGAAAACGTCGGTCAGCGTATCTATACTAATATTATAAAAAGGACAGATTTAAATAGTTTGTTTATTTGTATTGACTCCGAAACTACTTCACGAATTTAAAAGTTGGGAAATTACACTTTCTCCGATGAACATAAGCTATATTACAATATATTTTCAAACAAGTTAGAGATTCTTACTAAAATGCCAATAATGTAAGGTGTAAAAAAATTACCTAAAAAGCTCACGCAGCTCACTTGGAGCTTTGACTCCTTACGAAGCTGTCGTCTGCTGAATTGCATATAAAAAATATTGCAAGTTCGATGTTCACATATCATTGTCTACATTATGTCCTCTGCCCCAAGTGGGATGGTAAATGAAGTGATCTGCTAGTTATATTGTATATGTATATATGTATATATCTATATATATATATTGATATATATATTAGGGTGGATATATATATTAGCCTGAGGAAAGCATGTTGCCTGAGGGTAAAATTTTGTGAAGTTTTGAATAAAAAAAATTTTTTTTAACATCTAGAGGCCCACTCACTTTTAAAGTAAATTTCGAGTTTAAATTTATTTTGGACAAAAAACGTTTCTTTTAGGATAAACTCTTTACATTTATATAAAAATTACCGAATTTGGCGGTTTTCGACTCAAAATTTATTTTAACGCTTAAGGAAAGCATGTTGTTAAGTTTTTGTTTTAAAACTTCAATAATGACCACAAAAAATCTTTTTAAGTTGATAACTTTTAATTGGCCAGAAAGAGGACTCTCCATAGCTTCTAGAACACTTATCAAAATTTTTTTACGAAATAAAAATTTAAACTCGAAACTTTACTATAAAAGTGAGATGTTAAAAATTTTTTTGTTTTGTCCAAAAATTTTCTTTGTTTATAATCTACAAATTTGACCCTCAGGCTAAGCAGTATATATATAAATGATCAGCGTGACGAGCTGAGCCGATTTAGCCATGCCTGCCTACCTCTCAGTATGTACGCGAACTAATCCCTCAGTTTTTGAGATATCGGACTGATATTTTGCTCACATCTTTTTCTCTCCAAGAAGAAAAGTGTTGATCAAAATAAAATTTTTACATGGAAAACTTTTTTATTTGACCAGATATCTTCACGAAATTTAGCATAGATACAAGGCAACACTACAATCTCCGAATATATTGTTCAGATCGGACCGCTAAAGCGTACAGCAGTCATACCAACTGACCGACCAAAAAAAGATAAAGATTTTTTATACTCTTTTATGATGTAAGAAATGCACCTGTGTAGGGTATTATAGCTTTTTTAATTTGTGCTAATACACGTTATATAAAATTATGATGACTTAGTCAAATACACTAATGCTTAAACATAATACTCGCTTGAACGGCAGTGATGGATTAACAATTAGTTGCCACCTTTTCAAGCAAACATTCATACATAAATACGCACACACATATATACGCATATGTAAAATATTCCACTGTGCCGCAACCGTACAAAATTAACATATTCATTATTATTTTATTTTTGGAAATTTATTTGTCAATACCATAATCCACAACACTTCCGCTCTAAAACGCCCTTAGTTATCATCAACACAAATGAACCAAGCGCAAGTTAGAATATTTTTGTATAAATTTGCAGACAGAAAACACATTTAACGGTATTCGTTGGCTTCTTTTGGCTTACTCACTGCATTCATCACATTTTTCTTAATGCAAATAGTTGATGGTTTTTCATGTTCAGGTTAATGTGTAAAATATTAAAATCAAGGCGTGCGATTAGCCTTTTGAGGTACACATACACACATGCGTAAATATTTCTTAATATTTTCGGTGGTCTTCCACTTCGGCATAGTATTTTATTGTCCACATAAACGTTAATTAAGCAAATTATTTGAACTGACTTTATATTCTTATAAATCCATATATAGATGTTTTCATAACTTTAACAAGTGTAGCGAGTTTCCAAATATTACATAACAAATTAGAAGGCACTGTACAATTTTAATTTGAAATCGAAGGTTTTATACAGTAGTGTTGGAAATCTCTTGCAAGCGTAGCACAAATTGGTGGGCATTCTCAAAGAAACCCTTCATATTAATATTTTTTTTATATTTTTATAGATAATTGGTGGGTGTAACTCAGCTGTTTGCTTCTTTTATCTCTACATTGTGCAATATCATTTAATTGTTTAGTCACAGATGCATAATGAAGCTCAAATTTAGCATAAAGATAATCTCATAACAATAAATATTTTCTTACTATCAAAAAACAAATTAAGTCTTTTCAAATTTTTCAAAACTTTGATATTTGAAACTGTTGTTGAAGTAAGTCAATAATAGCTGGCATAACCGATGAAAATTAGAATATTACTATAAGCAGTAATTTTAAATATATTTTAATATTTTCTAACGCATAAATAATCGGAAAGCATTTTCTTTATAAAGCTACACACTATTTACAGCATTTACAACATTCTAGAACCATCTAACCTGATTAGAACCAGGGTATATATATTATATAATTCATACATAATATATACAAGTAGCAGACTCGCCAACCATAGTTCTGTCATAACTTAAATACTTAAATACTGAAGCACACAACGAAAATAGCATTATAGTTTTGTTAATGTAATTAAGTAATTTGTAATATTATGAGAAATTTTATGCTCAATGTTTTGTAAATAGTTACGATTTCCATTTTCAGAATCTAGCATAATCAACCAGATTCGCAGCCTTTTTTTTGAATATTTTGCCAAAATTGGGGCAAATTGAGACCCTCTGAAGACTGTTTTGAAACTTGATTACTTCAATTTCACTGTGTTTCAAAACATGTTTCAGTCCGCAGTCTACTCCAATAATTTCATGAACGCTCCTGTTTACATATGTTAATTTTATCACAACTGTTACAATGTGTAATTTGTCGATCGCTTTTAGTTTTATTATTGCCGGCAACTCTAAAATTAAATATCATCCGGATACTTGCCGAAATGATATATTTTCCACTCATCGAATAATAATGCTTAACGCAAAACGGCTTTGGTCATATTTATTGAAACATCATTCAATACTAACTGCTCAATTTTTTTTGAATCTGTTTGAAATGGACATGAAAGCAATTCTTTAAGGTTTCATTATATTTAGCATATGCTCTGGATTCTACAAAGTTCTTTCCTGGTTCTTTTGTGAAAACGGCTTAGTATTATACTAGGATATTAAGCCGTTTTCACAAAAAATAAATAGTTTTTTGTTATGATGTAATTGGTTTATTGCAAAAAACATACTTACGCAGATACATGAATTGAAAGAGTGCAGGCATCATACTTTAAGAACGTAAGATTGTTGTTGTGAGTTTGGGCAATGCAAATACATTCCCAGAAAGCATAATATTGACGAATAGCATGCAGAAATAACTTCGAAAAAGTAGATTAAGGAAGTTTTTTACGGCTTCCTGGTTTGCATGGTTCGCAATATAACATGGTCTTCGAGTTATTAAAGGACCTTGTAGCCAATTTTTTTGTAGCTTTGATATAGCAATAGAAGCTAGAACAGAAACTCATATATAGGAAGCTCGTATCGGTTCACAACGTTTTTGCCATTTATTAAGTATATATCCGCATACATAATTTCGTCATCATATTAGGTTATGATGTAAAACTTCTTCAACATTCAGGCACACAAATGACTTACCCGTAGTTCGTTAATGAAAACTTTTGATTACCTTCAGGCTGGACCTAATTCATCTCGGAAGAGATAAATATTGGTTATAAATCATTTTGTTCACCAAGTTGTTAGAAAATTATATTCAATGTTCACATTTTACCATAAGAAACTTATTAATCCCGTAGTTCCTCTTTTCTGTATGCTTTATTTGTAGTTCTTGTTATAATTCTCGTGGTGTATAGAAATATGTCTGAAATGTCTTCCGCGCCTTATCGTACTTTTAATGGTATATTGTCTTATCTATCTACAATAGTTTATACGTAAACCGATGCTACTCATGCAATTTCATGTTGCAGCAGAACGCTTACGAATCAAAAATTGAACAAAATAATTGTCCGGTTAAAATTCAGGTTCTACTAGGAACATCTGAAGCGCTTAACAAACGCTATTAATTAAGTTGCCGAGCGTTTATTAAAAATAAGATTAAGGCGACAACCAATTCGCTACTACCGAAATGTCGTCATATTTAACGGTATTTCGTTAACATTAATTTGATTCTATAGATATATACACATATGTTTATTTTTTAACGATGATTAGCAAACTAGCAGATCGTGATTGCTTTTGATAAAGGAATTCATAAACACTTAACAAAATCATAGTCTAATCCGTCTATTGCGACTTTTTTTTTATAATTCAGTATTAATGCATAAACATACACTCATACATATGCGCTATGGTATAAAACACAAATTGAGCAACAAAACATTTAACTGAAAATATGTTGATTTAAAAAAAACGATAAAAATTAACAAAAAGTAATAAACCAGATATTTTTCGAAAATACAGATTGAAACAGATGGGCGGGCGAACAAACGAGAAATTTTTGCTAAAATTTTCGAAGATGACTGCAAACAAATTAGACTATTTCGAGGCAGACGATGGTCAACAGTGGGTATGAGAGTAATATATACATATGTATGCAAGTGTAGACTTAACATAGTTGTACATATGTCTCAACAACCGTACAATAGATATATGTACGAGTTTGTATATGTACATGTGCGAGCGAGCGATAATAAAGTTGGAACGACAAATATAGCTACTAAACAAATCAGCCTCCCATTTGACAAAACACTGGATACTTGCATACATATACACTTATACATATAGCTATCAGCTATGTTTGATGGCTAATCGATCGTGGTCATATTGTTTAATTCAAAACAGTTGGATCCTACGCTATAAAAAACATAAATTAAACGCGCTCGTCCGCAGTTGTGAAAATCACTTCAAACCCTAAACATACACAAACGAAGCGAAAAATATACAAAAAATTGTTTAGAAACACGAATACAAAAATAAATTAAACGAAACATTAGCGATAAACAACAAAATCTCCCTTAAAAAAATTATATTAATTTTTTATTCAAAAAAAAAAAATAGTGAAAGAAACTAAAGTTCAAACAAGCGATCAAAGATGCGGCGAATAAATAGAACACAATCGAGCCCCGTAAGTGTCGGAGTAATTGTTTTAACAATTAAGAAGAAAAACATAATAAAAAGTGTATAACTAAAGTGTGCAGTTTAATAAATATTGTGGCCAAATATTGAATTTAATAGTGCAAATGACATGTGACTACTGCTTTGTGAAATATGCAAAAAAAAAGTTATTATTAATATCAATATTTTATTTATTCATTATAAATAAGTTTTTTTTTTTAGTTCAGTATAATTACGAAATTTTTTTTATTCAAGTCTACATCGATAGTTTTGTAAAGATTATTCAAAATACTTTGAAAGAAGTAAATATTTTTTTTTTAGAGTTTAGTGTTAAAATTGCAATAAAAACTAAAAAAAACATACACTCTTAGCTGCAATAAATATAATATATATATATATATAATATATATTTATAGTGTAAGAATAATATGCAACGACGAAAAAAATTGAAATTATATTTAGAGGACCTTATTATATGTAAAATAAAATATTTATCAATTTTTTTCGAAAATACTGAAATAAAATCCCAAAATCCATCAGTTTTGTTCACAAAAAAATCACTAAAGATGCAGAGACTGGTAGAAATTTTACTTAATGAGAATTTGAAAAAAATTAATACTTTTTTTGATCGCTACATCTTCCTTGATGATCTTGTTAAAGAAATAATGGTCAAATTTCTAGTCCACAACTTTAAAAACTATTTCTCATGAGTAACTTTATAACTTAGGCGAAAAGCAAATAAGTCTAACCACTCCTTTGATTGAGGCATTTGCTAAGAAAATATTTGTTAATTTTTGAAAATAACATTTAACAAAAAAAGTATATAAAAATTATGCGAAACTTTTTTGAATAAAGTTGAAAGATATTTAGAATGGTATTTTTATTTATTTTATCCAATTTTAATATTATCAACAGATGGCGCCCTAAACTAGTGCTTGATGAGGGAACAGCAAACGTCTTTATTATTGTATAGGTAGTTATTTGATCAAGTAGATTTTATATTCTATATCAGTGCACAGCATAAGAGAAACTTGTGACTATGTAGGCAGTGTTGCAAAGAATGAATTAAAAAAATAATTGAGTTAAGATTTAATAAGCCCAACATCGAGAAGTGAAAATTTAACTTTTAATACCAGAATCGGCATTAAAAAATTAAATCTAATTTTTAATCCAAATCTCGAGATTAAGAAATGAAAATTAATTTTTTTATCTTTACCTAAGAGAAAATGGGTCTAAAACCGATTTCGATCCAGCGATTTTTTCAGTGAGGTTTTTTTTGGGCATTACAAAAATTTATTCGGCAGTTTTTGAGATATCCGAATGAAATTTAATACGTAGGTGGATTTTGAGATTCTGATATTGGTCTTTTTCGGAAGAAACCACTATAACATACCTATAATACTAAGTGTGCTCCTAAAGGTATACTTCGTGTCGGTACTATTTGACTAACACTATGTGTGTATATTATATATCAAAGATCGAATATCTATCGAAGATAGACACGAATCTTAATTCCGCAGAAAGAGTTACTGCTTCGGAAAATAAAATTAGTCGCGATTAATTAAATAAAAGATTCTTAACCAAATTATCATATACAATAACATATGTACATATAGTGTATCTACCATATTTATTGTCACTTATATTGTTCTTAACGAATCACAGTGTGTCTTTTTAGTATTTGCCGTTATGTGCATCACCAGCTCAGCGATCAAACCGCTACATGCTGTTCAACTTGGCAATCGCGATGCAGTGATCACGTTATATAATGTGGCACCAGCCGACGACTTGGGTATCTATCGGTATGCATACTCGACGAGTAACGGTATTGCAGTACAGGCCGCTGGCAGCGCACTGGAAACCATTGGCATATTTAGCTACACCTCACCCGAGGGCATACCAATCGAAGTGCGTTATATTGCTGATGAACTGGGTTTCCATGCTGTTGGACGCCATTTACCCCGTCCGCAACCAATACCAGACTACATACTTCGTTCGCTCGAGTATATACGCACGCATGCGAATGAGGAGGATCGTGGCCGTTACAGGGTTTACAAATAAAATCATATTGTACACATACTACAATATATCAATTATATTTTAAATATTTTGCATTCTCATATGCGCACAGAATATATTTAATCATTAAAAAATCACAAAAAACCATTTTGAGCTGCCGAAATGGCAAAGTGCATACATTGCTAACGGTCAAACAAATTAAACAAATGCTCGTTGGTTCGACAAAAGTAATTTAGTAATTTTTGGTTTTTATCTAGCAAATTTATATAGCTAATAATAATTGTAAGCACTTTCTAATATTACATACATACATATGTAAATACACACAGAACTAACAGTGACCTTTTATTCATATACTCATAATTTCCGGCAACAAACAGACAAGCGGTACATTTTTTTTGGTTCATATACCGCAAAAATTTAAGAGTACTCTGTACAAATATGGATTTGTGAAAAATTTGGTAAGTATAGCGAATAACTAAAGGCTGTGTAAGTAAAAGTTCCCTGGGTAAAAATTTTATTTCAAAACATTTCTTAAATTTCGATTAAGCCTGATTTAAATTCATAAAACAGTAACCTTTCCGATGTCAAAATATATCAGAAGCAATAATTTTGAACTTGTTTTGTTCTTGGCCTATATGGAAATATTTTATTTCATTTTAACCCAATAAGAAATTTTAGACAAGTGGCAACCCTCCTCGGAATATATTTTCTACTGTTAACTTTCTTACAATTTTTTTGTCTGATTGATATAATTCTAAAAACTGGTTTTTTATATCCTGAACAGGGTATATTAAATTTGTCACGAAGTTTGTAACACCCAGAAGGAAACGTCGGAGATCCTATGAAATATATCTGTATATACAAACTAGTCGCTCAGTTTTTAAGCTATCGATCTGAAATTTTGCACCTGTCCTTTCCTCACTAAGAAGCTGCTCATTTTTTGGAATGGACCACTTTAGCATATAGCTGCCATACAAACTAAACAATCAGAATCAAGTACTCGTACATACCATATACAAGTATGGGAGGTATTAGCATGTAGTAAGAGGAAGTAAAATAAATGAGTGCGCGTGTGATATTAATTCATTTTCTATACTATTCATATACAGGGTAAGCCTTATGTAGGTAGAAAAAGGTCGGGTAATTTGAAGTACGATTAAAACCAAACTCGAAATTTTGGAATACAAAAATTTTAAATAAAGAAACATAACACTTTGGGTACCGAACAGAAGGTGTTAAAACTAAATAACAATACAGTTGTTAAACTCAAGAGGTTTTAGAGATCATACAATCGAAAATATTTTTGTCAAGTGTTGGTAGCTGTTAGATTTCTTAATTGCAATTAAATTTATAAAATATATGAAATATGATAATAGTGGCCTGAAACTATGTAAGTTTAAAAAAGATTTTAAGCAGAGAAAACAGTTTACTCGCAACAAATTAAAAACATAAATCACATTACTAGTATTCAATAAAAGGTATTTAAGTATATAAATTAAATGAGGTACTCCACTTCTTTATTTGAAAATTTTTCATATATCCAAAAGCCGAATAATTTAAATAAATGATGGATAACATCGAAGAATATGAATTAACTCCGCATTGCCTTTCTTGCTCTTTTTATGATTACACAGACGTTCTATACACCTGCCAGTTGAACAACAAACGCGATGTGTTCTATGTGACGGGCGAATATGACATTTCCCATTTGTACGAGTATCTGTCAGCTATTATTTTTGACACATTAATCACGTTATAACTCAAACTACATATATTCAATAAATAAACCGTTGAAAAATCAGACGTCTTAAATCGATCATGTCATTCTAAAAAACATTAATAATTATTCATCATTATTATTGTATAATTCAAAACATACAAGATTCTTAATATTGGCAAGTAAAATAACTTTTTCAAACATTTTTTCACACTACCTAATGACCGATGGTCGACCATGTACGTTACGTTAAATTATTTCCACCGGACAATGAAGTTTCAGTTTTCAATGTCATTATTTATAGGTGTGGTAAGTAAAACCAAAGCAATATTAATTAAAAAACAAGCATAAAATTAAATAAAAAGTTGCAAAAGGCGTTTGCAGTTGGAAAGACTAATGATAATGTGAAATTGTGAAATTTTAAACAAGTTTAGTCAAACAGGAAAAAATAATTTTTTTTTTAAATAAAAAAAGACTTTCATTGGAATATTAAATTGATAGTTTGTATACATATACTTTAAAAGTGAGTGGGCCTCTAGATGTTAAAAAAATTTTTTTTTTGCAAATATTTTCTTTTTTTATCATCTACAAATTTTACCCTCAGGTGAAGCAAAAAAAATTTTTCGCTCCACCCTAATATACATATACATTTGCACGTATATTTAGTTTGAGAGAGAAAACTACTTTTGGAGACATTTAACGGGTGTTTTTTATTTAGACGTGTGGTTTTCAATGTTAGACGGATACTTTTTTCGGAGTTGGTCTTTTTAAGAACTGATTTATACTCAAAATAATGGTTCGGTTCGCACAACGCATTGCGGTCTACGTTCAATATTCGGTTGACATAATCGCCCAGCAGAGTCGATAATTACAGCAAACATGGATCGATTTCCCACCACGTTTACTCTAATGGATAAGGCGCATCCTTAGAGATGTCGTACAATGCCTACCGAAACACTATTGCAGCTGTAAAGCAGAGTATCGAAAAATACCCGAATGAGTCCATCCGTCATCCCGCGCAACAATTAGAACAGTGCCCAATGACTTATTAAATATTTTGCGAAAAAATTTTGGTTTGTCTGCTTACAAAATCTAGGCCGTGCAACAATTGAATCCGAACGGCCATCAAGCATGTCGCACGTTCCATAAATGGGGCAATACCGATATTCACCATAAAATTTTGTTCAGCGATGAAGCACACTTTTGGTTCAATACGTGCGTTAAAGAACAAAGTTTTCGCGTTTGGAGTGATGATAATCCACAAACCATTGTTGAGATGCCGTTACACCCTCAAAAATGCACTGTTTGGGTGCTCTATGGCAGAGGGAATCATTGGTCCATATTTTTCAAATGATGCCGGCCATACTGTCAATGGGGAACACTATACAGCCATTACATAATCTTGTCAGAAAATTAACGATAAAAAAAAGGTTTGATATGATTTTTTGCTAAGCCGACTCGATAAAAAGTTATTCGTAGTTAAAGTCTAACCTTAAATCGTAACAGATAATTTTTACATTTTTTATATATTATTTAATGCCTAAAGGTTAAAGAATTTTTTTTTCTTCCACCATATGAAATGAAACATAATCAAAAAAAATCGTTAAAAAGGCATTTTCTAATATCATAGTTGGAAGCACTAAAAAAGGTTAAAGATTTTATTATGTCATACATTTGATGACTTTTATTATTTTTATATTCAGGAAATTTTTTTAAAATTATACTATATTTTTAAGTTAAGCTCGGTTAAGTTTATACAAGGGCATGCTAGCATTTGTACAAATGTGTATATATTATTATTATTTTTCTTTGTATTTGCTTATTGAACTAATTTTTTGCTAGTTAAAGACATCTTTCTTCGCCTATTGATGTATACATACATATTAGAGCTCTTGGTATTCGACTAATCGACTAACCGGATAGGATTTATTATTGGAATAATAATATTCGGTTTGCACTATCCGGATAGTCGTAAGTCGTCGACTATGCGATTAACCGCTCGTTGTTGACTATTCGAACAGTAAACGTTTTTCTTATTTTTATTAAAAAAAGTGAAACATTCAATAATAAAATGTGTGTACAAATCAAAGGCTGATTGGATTTCAAGCAGTTTTCATTTAATCAAATACACACAGCAGAACAACTGTTCGAATAGTCGGTCGCAATGGTACGACTATTCGAATAATATTACTTGGTTAATATTCATACGAGCAGTTAATAATCGGCTTTCAGCTTATTATTGTATTTCAAAACTTTTTTACACTTCAGAATGAAATGACTAGCGCATTTTCGAAAATGTATTACGAGTACTTTCATAGATCGGGTTAAATAAGGATTTTCGTGCAATGAATGTTTCTTAATTTCGTACAACCAGTACATTTAAAAAATTCTTATTTGTAATATTTATTTGTGTTATAGCGACATTTTATTTTAATATGTTTTATTAAAACAGAAAAAAAAGTATTATTGAGTTATATATTTTTTCTAATATACATTAAGGTGCGTCAAAAAAACGAATATATTTCAATGAAAAAAAATCTATTTAAATTGCACACTTCATAGTTTTGTAAAAAATTTATTGTGCTACAAAAATGGTCTCAGATAATTTTACGATTAAGTTAAGCGTTTACAAGATATTCATGGTGTAAAATCAAAATCTATCAAAAGAAAAAAAAACACAAAAGAGAAAAGAGAAAAACAAATAGATGGGAAAAGTAAAGTACAATGTTTTAGGCACGGCTTGTAAGTTGCTTGTTAAGTTGGATCCTTTTGTTTAAGGTAAAATCTGAAATTTAAGGGCGCGTTTGCAAAAAAAAATCAACTGGGAAAATAACGGAAATCCTAATGTATATATTACATCTAAGAAATAAATATTTTGAAAACAAGTTTTTTTTATAAATATCAAAGATTATAAATTAATAATTAAATATAAGAAACTAATTTACATAACTACGAGTTTGTTTGTATATTGTGAGAAAAGAAGAAATTCGGAACAAGATTTGAAATCGAAAGTTCTAACCGCCGCTCAGCAACAGCGGCGACGCATGTGCCTCACAGTTAAGCGGCACCATCAGTCATTAGCGCTCGTGCCAGCGGCGACTTGAACATAAAAAACTTTTTTACACAAATACCTCAAGCGTTTACGCGATAAAATCAACATTTTTTCGGTAGGATCACTGCTTCTGTGACCTTTTGATATGTGTTAATATATCTATGCTAATAGAATTGCTTTGGTATTTGAATTTTTCAGCGCAACGAGTGTGAATATTAATTAATTTCGATCATAAATACTTTTTCTTAATTTTAATTTGACGTTTACTGATGAAGTGCATTTATTAAAACTCAATAACACATGTTAACATGATTAATTAAAAGTATTAACAAAACCGAGGCAATGCAAAAACAGAAAAAGAAGTAATCGAAAAATCTCATTAAAAAGCCGAGATGTACAAAAATTCATTTGGCCGCAGTGAAGCATTTATTTGTTTGTATAGCGAAGTGAAGTGTTGTTACATTGCAAAAGATGCTCACATATATTATTATGTTCATGTGCTATATGTTTGTGAATTATTTGTATGAAATTGTGCCAAACTAAAAATTATAAACTGAAAGTGATTTTCAGAAAAAACACTTTTATAAACAAATATTATAATTAAATTAGTTGATACTACACGTTGCGTATTGCCTCAAAACGATATAATATAATAATATAATATTTCAAGTAAAATTTTTCAAAACAGACTTTATACTTATTAAGTATGTTCAATGTTTTACTGTATACATACAAAGAATAATAAATACTCTTCAAACCCTACTTAGGATATTCGTCCATATATCTACAAATAATCATTAGAACACGAAAACTTATTACAAATTTTTGTTCACAAGAAAAACGCACAAAGCAGTTCATTATCACGATTTGAAAAGGTAAAGATATATTTTTAGTTCAGTTAGTTTAGTTTTAGTTTTCGAAAATTCATATGGCGTAGTACTTATCAATCCATTAATGACAGAACGCTTCACCACAGAACGTTCGGTTGTATCACAGGAAATGTCCACAAAAAAAAAATTTAGTTTTGATACCAAAACAAGAAAAAACGATAATTTCAGCTGCATCAAAGCTATAATACCCTCCACAGGTGAATTTCTTATAGCAAACAAGCGTAGAAAAAGATCTTTATGTTGATTTTGGTGCTTTGATCTCAACATTTTGTTCGGAAATTGCAACGCTGCCTTGGACAATAATATGTGTCAAATTTTGTGAAGATATCTCTTCAAAGAGAAGAGCTTTTCATACAAGGACTAAATTTTGATCGCTCAGTTTGTGTGGTAGCTATATGCTATAGTGGTACGATATCGGTTCCAACAAGTAATCATCTCTTTGGGGAGAGAAGGACGTGTGTGAAATTATTACCATCATTATCATAACATATTTGAGCTATATCAATAAATATGCATTAACTTGATTGGTTAAGATAAGGGGGGTTAGGGTTTCAAGGTAAAAAAAAAATACTTTTTTTGCGATTTTTTTCCTTAAATATGGATTGAGTAATTTTATTCGGACCTTTTGTACATTATTGAGCATACTTTCGACAATATAGAGTAATTTTTTTATACAGGAATATTGAAGCATAAGCTGGTAACAGAGCTTCCCCCAGACCGTCTTGAGTAAAAAACAATTTGCGGTGTTCACCATAACTCGACTGAAAATATCCGAAAAAAAACCAAGAAAAATTAGTTAAATTATGATTAAATCTTCCACCCAACGTTCTCTGATAATTTTTTATTTTCCACTAAAAATTTCGCCATTTAAGAGTGGAAAACATCCTCAACGTAAAAAAAAAAACGTAGGGGGCGGTATTTTATAAGTCAAAAATGTGTAAAGTTTGAAATGAATCGGTCAAGTAGTTTTGAAATGACAGTGAACACGGACTTTGAAAAAGTAGATTTGAGAAAAACGCGTCTAAAGTTTATGAACTAGCGTTAAAGGCCAGGAGATTAATAAGACAATAAATTTAAGTATATTGCTTCTATCGACCTAAAATTTTAAGGACATATTCGAGAAATGTTAAACAATAAGATAAGAGAAAAAAGTAAAACCCCAAAATATACTCAGCTCAAATGCCATTTCTATAAATTATAGAGATAGAAGTAAGTAACTTCTTAAATAAATGTATTGTATGTATGTATGTGCGGTAGATTCATTTTTTTTATACTAAACTCCATACATATTGAGTACAGAGCCAAGTGAAGTAAAGCATCTTGCTCTTTTGTTTTATTTATTATATTAATATGAAAAAAAACTATTATACTCCATGGTAATATGTTGCGATAATATAATATAATAAATTTTACCTCTAATTAACTTTTTGTTTTGATTTTTAAATACCGGTTGTCATTAATTTCTAAAATTTTATATTTAAAAATGCAAACTTTTTAATTTCATAATTATTTTAGTGACGTCTTTTTTTACCAGCTTTGTCAAAAGCATTGGAACTCTTTGTTGCCTTTATATTTTAGACTACATAGGATGTATAAGTATATTGTATAAGTGTGGCTGCGTGCTCACTGATGAACTTTAATTGCAGGATTCAAGTCAAACATGTTTAATTGCCCAGACAAATCCTCATAATCGAAAAAATAAATTAGAGTTTTGTGCTAAGATATAAAGAATGCTGTTTGAGGAACTTGAAACCAAAGTTTTAAGTAGGAACAAAGTAAAGAGAAAAAGCGGGTCCTCCTTCATGAAGTTACTCTCGCTATTTCATAAAATCGCTTACAACCTCATGTTTCGTTCTCAAAATGAAATGGAAATCGAATATATTTCACGTATCACAAACTTCTTTAGCAATTTCCACCAAAATTATAAAATGGCATTCTTATACTACCTTTATTTTATGTGCTTTTCTTGCATCAATAGAAACATCAGTCTGGTTTTAAATGCTCCAGCAGTAATCAGCCATCATATTTGCATTCCAACGATCCTGGTATCGCTCTCCCATAGTGCGAATATAGTCCAAATGGCTGAAAAGGAAGTGCATCTTGATGCTTATGTTAGATCCTAGTCTCTGGAAGTGCAACATGAGCTGCTCAATGCGTTGAATGTTATCTGGAGACTTTTTATTTCCTAAGAAACTTTGCACAACCCAAATAATACAATCATACAATGTCATACAATCAGTAAAATGTTCGTCCTTTATTAATTCCCTCAAATCATTCAATCAAATTATTAAGAAACAGTTTATAAACTTCATAAAACAAAAAAGTGTAGTTTATTAAAAGATACCGATTACCTATTTAGGATTCATTCCTACAGTAGAAATTTTAAAATAGAGTCTAAATATTTAAAAATTAACAGTTTTACTTTTCCTGTCATGCCCCGTAGAAGTTTCTCTTATTAACCCGACCATACTTTCAGTATACTGGCCTTGGTAACGTCTCTCAAATTCCATTATATTTTGATGGAAGCGTTCCCCTTGTTTTTCCTACTAAGCTCCCATATTATTTTAAATATTTCTAAATGAGAATATATTATGTGCATCTTTAAGGACAATCTACATGCCATGACGGAGAAATTCGTAATCATGTCACTGATCAGCTCATTGCTAACTAACTTCGGATAAATATCACAATCCAGCATTTTTTATTGAGGGCCTACAAAGAGACCAGTTTTTATTTTCACATCATTCCTACTATCCGACAGGCAAAGATAACAGGAGTGTTAGTATACCCACTTTGCATTCGTCAAAAAATACACCGTCTTGAAGTCTCCAATAACTTTTTACTTGTATTCCATATTTTGAATGGTTGTGCTTTTAGACTTTTTGTTGAGCTATCAATAAAAAGGTCCTCTTTAGTTGAATGGCAAGGAATGCCAATTTCTTCAAATAAACATTTCATGTCATGACAAAAACAGAGTCCATCTTCCTTACTGAAGTCGTTTATTCATGTCGTCTTCTATGATGGGATATTGGAGAAAATTTCATTTTTTCAACCGCGATGCCAATAACTCTGCTTCATCAAGCCTGAAGATGGTATAGTATTTTATGTTTGCCACGAACTTTTTATCACCCAGAAGGAAACGTAGGACACCCTATAAAATATACTCGTATATATATGTAAATGATCAGCGTGATTAGCTGAGTCGATTAAGCCATGTACATCTGTCTGTATATACGCGAACTAGAACCCTCAACACCCTAAAATATCAATTCGCAATTTGGACACGTGCTTTTCTCCTCCGCAAGCTGCTCATCTGTCGGAACTGTCGACATCGGATCACTATATCGTATAGCTGGCATACAAACTGAACGATCGCAATCAAGTTCTTTTCCATTTCTTTCTGTTTGTATTCTGTAAGCCTAGGAAAGGAATGCCTGCGTTTTCAAGTATACTGAGATCAGGAGCTATTCGCAATACAAAATACTGTTTTAATAGCTATGACTTATAGACTGCCAACTATACATTAGTTGCTTGACCTATAGGGGTCTTAATTTGCCATTCCAATCAGAACTAGGAATTGGGAATTATTAAAAATGGTTATAGCCAGTGCAGAGAGCTCATACAATAACAAAGAAATGCACATACAGCAACCAATACAATTAACATTACATCCTTCTACACGGAAATTAAAACACGTATTACTTTAGTTAGTGGCTACCATATCGGCGCACAAAAGAAGATTTTATTTATTTGATACTGATAGAAATATTCTCGCTCCATAGGGCTTCACATGCTTACAAATTCGCATGTATGTATGTAGAAATTGGTGAATTAGGTATATTTTTTTTGATGTTTATGATTTATGCAGCGGTCGGCTGACAACTCCCTCTTTGAGTTCAATTAATATAGTTGATATCAAGTATTACATAATATTTATTTAAATCCGCACAATGACACATATTTAGCAAACGTGCCAAACAAGATTCAAAACGCACTTCACATAGCGGTTGTTTCATTACGATTACTCAGCGCTGGATATGTGTAAAACGCAGGCGTCACGACGCATCAAATGCTCGAGTTGACATAAACAACTTGCAGAGGGATGGATATGTCATTTTTGTGACACTAAACTAATTAACGTCGACAATTTTTCTCTTATTTTAAGAATTGTTTGCCGAATTTATTTACATATCGGCAACGCATCTATATAAGCTTTGAACGCACCAGAAACCTGTTTCATTTCGTTTCGAATACGGCAGCGGCAGACTCGTTGTGCTGTTCTGAGCATTCGGCGTGTACGCGTATATATGTATGTGTGTGGAAAAAATAAATAAACAGGCTGCTATAACTGAACTTCCAGACGGTGCTACCAGAATATATTCATTCCCAGTCAGCTGTGTCATTGGACGCTACTTCGAATCAAATAATGGGAATGTTGTTTACAATGCGGGTGACACGTAAAATTCGATACAGCGTAGCTGGACTACGATTCCAAACAACGGTTTGTTCTTCATGCACCACATAATTTTAATGGATTAATTTCTATTGCTTTATGGATAATAAATAGTTAGTTGCTTTTTTCTCATCTCTCTTCCATCTGCAGTTTAAACGTCTCCTCATGTGTGTAGTCTTCTGTGATATCTTTGCACAACATTTGCAGCCTGTGCATGCGGCCGTAAAACCACTTGATCCTGCTGCATACACCATTTACTATAAAAACCAGGCGCCGAATGAAAGTGGTGACTTTCATTACGAATTTCAAACATCCAACGGCATCACAACAAAAGCAGCGGGAAATGAGTTCGGTCATAGTGGTGTTGTGCAGTACATTTCTGCAGAAGGCATACCCATCACAATGACATATGTAGCCGATGCCGATGGTTATCATCCGACAGGCGATCACATACCAAAGCTACCGGAGCAAGTACTGACGACATTGAGGCAGCATACACCACAACAACGAACTGTGGAAAAAACAAATGCAAAAACAATTGTTAGAAATATACAAACATCAAGTAAAAAATAAGTATGGATTAATTAATTTAATGTAAGCTAGAGTTTCTCAGAAATTACTTTAAACTAAAAACTTAGAAAGGGAACTCAACCTGACAGATGCAGAAAAAATAGTTCAGATACTCATCGCTTAAAATAGTGTTATATTAGTTATATAATATGTCGCACTGTAATTATGAGCATCTACATATAGTTTCCAAAATTAAAATATAATGAATTGTGTTCAGTGCTTGCCAATAAGCTTTAAAATAGCCTTTAAATAATTTTAAAAATTGCATAGAATAAAGAATAGGATTATACTTAACATTTAAGCAAAGTATGAATTTTTTATAAGTAAATTTATATGTATGTACATATATACAAATATATTGAAAATTTGGTTTAAGGGGTTATATTCAAGACTTGGGACTGATCCGGCAAATAGTTGCAGAGAGTAAAAGCTTTTCAACATTTTTCTCGAAACGCTGTTATCTGAGTCGGTGAGGAGAATTTATTCGAAACGGCTGGATCGAGGACTTGAAATTTTCACACGAACTTTAAAGATACATTTGTCAGGTAGTGTTCGAAGGATACGATTTTTGATAAAAATTTCGATTTTTTAAGCTACTTTGAATTGTGAATTTTTTCACAAAAAACGACTTAGTTTTTGCAAAGCCGGAAAAAAAAAACAAAAATGTATGTTTTGACTATTCCTTCGACCTTTTTTTCGGAGGAAAATCTCCTCCTGGAGATAGGCTACAGGATCAAAAATTTTCAATGAATCGCCGATTTTTAAAGTACATTATTTTCTGTCAATGTAAATAAAAAAGCCTTTAAAAAAACATTCACAAAAAAACCCGTTTTTTTCTGACTTGCAAGTGGATACAAGTATAACCCATACCATACCATGTACATATGTATGTGTATATTTACTTTTCTTTTCACTGAAAATACTAACAAACAGGACAAACAACGATTCCAGATTAGCTTATGCTAACAAAATTATTAGAAATAAACAATGACAAAAAGAAATTCGAGTCATGCAACATTCTTATGCACACAAATGTAGATAGATATGTTTGTATGTGTATGTATATGTATATATATTTGTATGTATGCTTGTATTTGAAATTTGTGATAAATTGTTATTGAAAGCGTGCAGATTAATTATTTGGATATATTGATATACGTATATACATACATTTGTAAATATTTTTCTTCGATAAATTAGCATATATTATATGATAAAAGCACGAAAAATTGCAATAAATAAGATATCCACATACATACATATATCATTCAGATGTCGATTTATGCGGCAAGTCAAACGTTAAGTAAGAAATTAGCATACATGAAGAACAAATGAAAATTTGTGTTTTGGTAGCACCTAGATTTACATTCGTACATATGTACATAAGCATATACAATAAATGCATACAGTTTGCCGGTTATACAACGTACAAAAAAATTGGCAAGTTTGAGATACATGGTAAATTTTAAATGCAAAAGCATACATAATAAAGTTTAGAACAACGAAATTATTATTTATGAAATTTTAGTTTTATATTGAATATGCCGAGGGAGCTTAAACCGGAATCAAGAGCTGGTAGCGCCGTTCATATGCGATTTAATTCCACTAGCGTTACTTTAAAACAAAACAAAAAAAATGTTAAAATGATTTATACTATTTTAATTTATAGGTGATTTAGTATAACCGTGTCTGGTGGCAGAAATAATAGTGACAAACCTTATTTTAAAGCCCTAAAATCTTTTTATCAACATAGCTTTTAATCACTAGACACTATGCAACGATGCTTAATAACAGTACTTTGTGTTTAATGTCAAAAACATTTTGATTTTAAATGGATATATAAAAGATAAATAAATAAGTAATAATCTTGGGGTTTGGGGTTCTGGTCGTTCTGAGCTATTAAAAGTATCGATATAAAATACTTTTAAGGTTGTAGTTAAATTCACTAAAAGCTAGTAAGTAAGAATACTAACAGCTAAGGTGTCTATGAACGAAGGGTTTGTATTGCTCACCTCATTTCTTCGTTATATTTTCACTCCGCTGAAGGTTCTAATTCATGAGATTCTGGGGATGTTGCAAGTGGAAAGACAAAGAAATCACTACATTCAACGGGGGAAGATTTTTGAACTGAAAAGGGAGAAGAGAGAGAGAGAGAAAGATCTTTAGCATCACATTCGTAATAATTGGCGAAGATGTGCTCACTTACCGTTTTACTATTTCTTCTTATACTGCATTTGTTGGACCAGGTGGTTTCACCTGATTTTGTTTGTGGCAACTAGGGTTCGTTATCCATAAAGTAGGTTTGCCATATCTTAAGTATCGATGGAAATGTACGGCTACTTTTTCAAATCTATAATAAAGCTTCCATTCGTGTCGCTTCATTGTATTAAAAGAATCCTTATCTACACGTATCGTCACCACACTCTTTCCATCATCTACGCGTTCATTCACTAGCTTCCACACTTCTGTATTTAAATCTTCATTTTGTGAAGCAATCAAGGCCAATGTGCGTTGGAAATCTTGATCAATGCTCTTCGGCAATGCTGCTGTCATGACATAGGCATCTGGAATAACACGTTCTTGACTTGTCGTCAGCCCGGGACCTTCCCATTCGGCTAGCTTGGTGACGATATCTTTTAGCCAATTAACGGTTTCTTCATCAACGCAATCACAGAGTAATACACCTGGACGCAGATGGGCATTGACGAATTGCAATTTTGCACTGGCTCCTTTTGCTATTTCCGACGCAATAGCCTCTTCCAGTGCAATTATCGAATCCAAGTCCAGCATTTGATCTGGGAAATCTTTGGGATGTACCGCAATGCGGTAGTCCTCATTGATTTCAGAACTTTTCGCTGCCCTTCTTCGTAGCCGCTGGCGGAATTTCGACTCGTCTTCGACTTCTTTCGGTTGAAACTCTTTTCCCCATTGCGGTTCATATTCCACCGGTTCAGTACGGTGCTCCCAAGCTTTTTTGCATGCCACTTTCGGTTCTAGTCCTTCCTTCAAATAGCGCAAATACCATCGCACACCCGACTCGCACAGCCCCTTTAAATATGGATCCTCTGCTTTTGCTTTGCTTTCCTTAATGTCACCACTTTTGGTTTTGTCATCCAAAGCGATTTTTTTCTTTTCGGGTTCAGCTTTACTTTCTGCGACACTTCGCTTTTGTGTTGCAGTTGTTGACAAAGGTTTCCTACTCGTACTCGTACCGCTACTTGATGGCTTAGTAGTCGGTAGTCTTCGCGGTGGTGCACTGGCATGTGTTCTAATTGCTGGCCGACGTCTTATTCTTGTGGCTGTTCGTCTGATGCTGCCTCTTTGTCTGGCCCCACTACCGCCACTTCTTCCTCTATAGCCATTTGGTGAGTTGCCACTTCTCATCAATTGACCTATTAACTGGGTCAATGCTTGTTGATTTGAATTGTAATTTGTATAATTGTTAGTTGATTTCATCTTGTTCGTACGACCACCTGCTCGACGAGGCGAGCTCAGTAGTCTATGTAATATATTGGGGAATTCAAACGGTACACCACGACAGCGCCCCATGCCGCGGTAAGGCCATAGTTACTCCCTGAGGCGGCCCGGTGTCAGGAAGGCGCCGTTCAAATACAGCCGGTCTGTTAAACCCCCTGACTGCAAACCATCCAATGGGCACGGTATCGCTTTACACCCTGGATTAGGGGGGGTTGGCAGAACTTGGTCATCGTTCAAAAAACAGCCCGAATCAGTGAAACACAGTGTATACACTAAGTACTGATACTCAAATGTGTACAATGCCAACCGCTAATAAGGTCTGATTAATGATTCGACTAAGCCCCCGCACCACGGCAAGGTGCCTGCCTTCGCGGGGGAAAACTCCTATGCTACTACATATTTCTGACAAGTGATCACGCTCACTTCAATCCTAATCTTGAAAATACCACATCAGAATAAAAAACTTTCAAGCAATATTAACATGCTTATAGTAATAAATAATTATTTCTCAATTGCATAACTCAGCTAACAAGAACACTTTTATAATCAGTGCTAATTTACCTTTTACATTTAATTATTATTGCTAGCAGTTGTTTCCCTGATTTTCTCCTTTTGATGTACAAAATTGTTTAATTTTTTTCCGAAAATAACAAAGACTATTTTAAGAGGGCCTCATTCATATCGCCATCTAGTTGAACTTTATTGATGCTGACGGTAATACAACTTTTCATAATGTATCAAGTGCTGACTAAGCAACTTTACATAAATAAATCTTACAATTTTATATGTATTTGAGGATTGGAATAAATTAGAAAATAATTACTTGCTATATCATTTCCAAAACAATTGACGTTCCGTACGGAATACAGGGCTCAGTCATCGCCGTATGTTATTCCTTTAATGTACAGCACGATTTTCCTATATAATTATCCGTTATGAATTCGATTGATTTATTGAAGAAATTAGCTGATAAAATTTTTTTGTATATCGCCAACGACCACTTTCAGGCATCCAACTGAAAAATGTAAAATAAAAAAAAATAAAAAATCAGTTCAATTCTGGCAGTAACATATATGAAATGCGAACTGTATAATCAATGTAATAAGGATTGAAATAACTATTTTGTTGTAACATAGCCTAAAAAAAAAACAAAAAAACACTAAAAAAGTTCGGTAATTATCTATTTTTAAATTATCTATTTTTTTAAATAAGTGAAAATCCACGAACATTTTCCTTTCCAAAACCTATTTAGGGGTGTTGTGGAGTCCAAGACAGATTCGCTTAGTTGTCAGAATTGCAAACCAATACTGATTTTCAATGGTGTCACAAAATCCGATTCGATTTTCGTTCTTTCGAACATACAGACCACCAATATTCGAATTAGCTGATTGTGACAAAACTTAAGAATTAATAAATTTGAAATCAGTTCTATTAAAGTTTACAATGAGTTCCGAAATTTTATCTTTTATTTTACTAGAGGAATGAAAAGCAATGGAAAGATTAAAAGAATGATTTTAAGAGATCACAGTAATCCATTTAATATACGAGGGAAAACGTATGTGAAATTTAGCTTGCATTTATTTACTTGCTTACTTTACATATTTATATTACATTATCGCCTGAATAAAGACACATTTGTTATGGTGTTAAATAACGTTTTACAAATCCTCTTAAAATATCTTTATCCTATAGAAATAGAGATAAGTTAAGACGTATCAATAAAATTAATTCATTTCCTAACTTACTTTTCAAATCTGTCAGCGACTATCTTCTTGCTTTGATAAAAAAAAAAAAATCCGATACAATTTCTGTTTCGAACATCAAACCAATAATATTTGAATTCATGACACCAACTACATTTTTTTTAAAAGGTTTCAATTCCGATTCTACAACACCCTGGATTATATTGCACAATAAGTAATCACAGTTAGAGTATCTAGTAAACCAAACGAAGTCAAAGCTAAAAACGTACGTTCTCTTTTATTTTGTTGCACTTAGCCGTTTTTCTCCGAAGATTCTGAACAAATCAACAAAACTAACACTTCCTGGGGTTGTCCCTTAAAGCAAGTTTTCCAACAAAATTATTTAACTGATTCTAAAAATACGCCTAACTACACTGAATGATTTGACCAATTAATCGCATAATTTATTAACACTATTTTTTCTGTAAACACGCACATTTTAACTCGCTGAAGGATTATTATTAGACTAAAAACACAAAAATAAAATTAAACTTACCCATTATCAAATTCGTCGAACAAGGTCAATTGTTTCGAAAGGCTGATATGTCTTGAACTGAGAAGAATGTATTATATATAAGATGCAGATACCGCATACCTAAACAAAGTATAAAAAAATACATTTTTAGCAAAAAAAAAAAAACAGAATACGGTAATTTATTAATTCCTTACATTTTAAATTCATTTGCTGATTATAGGAGCGGGTGGCGGAGAAGGTGGGTTTTCGTCAGTTGTTTCCGCCGTTGTTTCTTTATCGCCTTCACCAACTGACTTTTCTCCTTTAATTTTAGTTTTTTCAGCGCCCCCTACTTCATTCAAGCGTTTACTTAGGGCAAAACGTATATAGCGTGCAAAATTTACTTCTATTAAACCAAATTTGTAAAATATTTTCCACTTCTTTGCTTTAATCGCCGCGTGTGATTCCTTATCAACACGGATGGTGAGAATTGATCTATCACCATCTTCACGCTCTTGTACCCATTCCCATGAATCGGTGGCCAAATCGGTATTTTGTGACTGAATTAAAGACAATGTCTGATCGTAATCTTGGCCTGCACTTCTTGGCAACGAGAGCGTCATTATATATGCGTCTGGAATGTCTTCTTCATAACAAATTGCCAATTCAGTACTTTCCCAATTCAATTTGGGAATAGTGTCTATGAGCCAATCTGCGGTATTCTGATTAACGCAATCAACAACCATCAAGCCCGGTTTCCGAAGTAACCTTTCAAATTGCAATTTTGATTCGGTACTACTATTGGCAACCTCATCGACGATCCGTTCTTCGAGTGCTGATAGATCATCGGTTTCCAATATAACTTCGGGAAAACCCTTCGCGAAAATCGCAAGGCGTATATACGTTTCCGCGGGTGGGGGATTTGTTTTTTTGACACTTTTTGCCGCTGTCGCCCCTTCAGCTCCTACCGTAAATGGCTTATTATTATTTTCAAAAGCCTTCTTACGGGCCTCTTCTGGTTTCAACCCTTTTGATAAGAAATGTTGGTACCAACGACCACCAGTTGATGTCAGCACCCGTCTAGGCTCGGCAGCGGATGTTTTATTTGCTTGAGCCGATCTTTGATTTGCTTGAGTGGATCTTTGATTTACTTGAGTGGATCTTTGATTTACTTGAGTGGATCTTTGATTTGCTTGAGCGGATGTTCGTTTAACAATATCTGCATTGGTACTTAGTTTTGCAGGCGGAGCGGAATTTGGTGGCGCTTTACGTTTCAGTGCCTGTACAGATTTTGAAGTATTACCTGAAGTTGAGGCACCACCGCTGCGACTACCTTTCGATGACAGAGACGTTTTCGAACCGCCTAAGTTTCGTCTGTCTTGTGTTGAACTGGATGAGCGGCTACTATTTCGCACTGGTTGCGACGCCAGATTGCGATTACTACGATTAGCTGCTCCACTAACCCACGTGCCACGTGAGCGACCAGGTGGCGGTGGCGGACAGTTATCAAACCCAGCCCCACCAAAATTATTATTTTGTGGAAAGTTATTACCCCCACCACCGCCGCTGCCAAAACCAGCATTGTTCATTCCCCTATTTGGTGGCATACCACCGAAGCCACCTTGATTACCTCCTGACATACCCATATAATTGTTTCCCTGTTGCATGCCACCAAAGTTGTTGTTCATACCACCACCTTGTGGCATGCCACCGTAGCCATCGTTCATGCCACCTCCTTGTGGCATACCACCAAAGCCACCACCATCACCCCCACCACGTTGCATTAATGGCACTCTATTGCCACTGCCACCACCTCCACTCCCACTATTTCCGTAGCCGGCGCCGCCGCCGCCACCTCCTCGTCCACTATTTCCGTACCCACCGCCACCACTACCGCCACTTGGAGTCCAATCATTTGGAGCATTTATACCCCAAGAACCTAAACCTCCACTGCCACCACCATTCGGTCCCATAGATGAACCACCATAATTATTTATGGGTCCGCTACCACCGCTACTACCTCCTACACCTCCTCTACCATAGCCAGGTGGTGAGTTGTTTCTACCCCTCACCAACTGACCCAGTAGATCGGCCAAAGCCCTTTCGTTTGATTTATAATTGTTATTTGAGTAAGTATTTGAATTCATCTTGTTCGTACGACCACCTGCTCGACGAGGCGAGCTCAGTAGTCTATGTAATATATTGGGGAATTCAAACGGTACACCACGACAGCGCCCCATGCCGCGGTAAGGCCATAGTTACTCCCTGAGGCGGCCCGGTGTCAGGAAGGCGCCGTTCAAATACAGCCGGTCTGTTAAACCCCCTGGCTGCAAACCATCCAATGGGCACGGTATCGCTTTACACCCTGGATTAGGGGGGGATTGGCAGAACTTGGTCATCGTTCAAAAAACAGCCCGAATCAGTGAAACAGAGTGTATACACTAAGTACTGGTACTCAAATGTGTACACTCCCATCCGCTAATAAGGTCTGATTAATGATTCGACTAAGCCCCCGCACCACGGCAAGGTGCCTGCCTTCGCGGGGGAAAATTTTGTAATCTTCAGGGATGCCAACTTCCTGAACAATATATACATTCCAGCAAAAAAGGAAATATTTTTTGTATGTTTTTTTTTTTTAACCTCAAAGAAGCTTGTATAAAATATTCTGAAAGGGAATGGATGGACCTTATACGAAATTTATTACAAACATATCAATTAATATGCGTCCAAATGTACAAACATGAAATGTAATATATCCGAGAATTTCAGCGGAAACAGAGTAACCTGTTTGCTTGTCGGAGACTTAGTTTATATATACTGTTTTTTTTAATTTTTTAAAGATTATCAAAATTGACCCTCATCCGTAGAAGAAATCGAAGTCATTAAACACTTGGATTTAACAGTTAGTGGCTTGATTTTTCTAAATCCAATAGTTCTATGTGTTGGCATCCGCGGTTCAACCTCTTGATTTAGGAAGTAAAAACCAGCAAATCATTTTACACTTTTTTAACAATTAAGTTTATTTAATTCCCAAGAATTTTATATGCAATTTAAATTAATTTTACTTGTTAATCCTTAAATTGTCTTAGCTTAATAATTTATAATTATTGTTTTTTTTTCAATTTCAATGTATTTATACTATTTATACCGTTCTCATATTAATTATTTTTATATCTTTTACGTTAAACTTTATAGACAAACTAAATGTGACTCATATTTATTTCTACTTTGCGGCTGGAATTTTATACTTTATTTGCCATAAAAAAATAATTGGTGAACTTTTAATATACCAACATGAAAAAGTAAAATTTTAACCAGACTCAATTTAGCAAAGTTTAGAACGTGGTAAAAGTAAGCGTAAAGGGGGTTCGTGGAAATAAACTATATACTTGTAATATGCTAATATGTCTGTCAACAGCAAATTTTTCATTATTATGAATTATGGTAATACGTTATGCTTTCCATCTAATTCATACATATTTATATTATTTTTTGTTTAATTAGATTTCATTCTCAAAATGTGTACACATTTTGCCCCCCTCCCCAAATATTTGTATAAATTTATTTCTATATATTTTTCGATACTCAACCCATAATTACCTTATAAGAATCAAGATTTAAAATTTCTATGTGTCTGTTTTAATATTATTTTATGTTATTTTCACATTATTTTACAACTTAATCATAACTACAGTTAATTAATAGTTATCTAGGTGCTAACTTCAAAACTGTTTTCTTTTAAAATATAAAAATCTATTTATTTTCAGTTTTTAACTTGCCATATTCGCCAAATTCCATCTGTTGAGTTATTCACCAGCTTCTTGAAATGCGGCACTTTTAGTTCCGACAAACTCACCATAGCATGCAGGTGCGTGTTGTTTGAGTTAAAATCTGCAAATCAAATTTGGCTTTCAATATTGTAGTTTTTTTTTAGATACTAGCTAAATAAACATATACCATATACATATATATATTTTTAGTGGTTATGGTAGCACTTTTTATACGAATACAAGAATATATTAAATAGTTCGTGATATAAAAAAGACATGATTACAAAAATACAACACTTATGGCGTGTTCCTTTCTTGATGAAAATGTAATTTCATTATATGGCAACATTATATAAAAACATTACAAATTGTAAAATAGTTCCGTACTTTTTTTTTACGTAATAAAAGAACAAAAAGCCTGCTACCAACTCATTCACAACTTCCATTATTGAGCCTTTCAAAACTGACCTATTCGTTAGGGGAAAAACTTGTTTCAAAAAGTTAACTATCAAAAACGATAAATAGATATCCGCTTGGCAACTCCCAAAATGTTGCGAAAATAACAATGCAGCAAATTTGGCAGCCCAACCATAGAGCAGAGTAAGTGAAACCATTTTTCTTAGAAAAGAAAACGCTATTTAACATGAAAAGTGCAAATTCATTGCACTCGCTCACACAAACACTTTACAAGAGTTTACATTTAATAAAGCGAATATTTACTCACCCTAGAAATTCCAATCGTCGGCAATAATTGTACAATTAATGCTTCCCTAAAGCCATTCCTATTCCGCAGGTTTACTCTCCGCCGACTGTTGCATCAGATCCTCTAAGGGGAAAAAATCGCCACCGCCACTACCACCGGCTCCTGCACCACTGCCACCAGCTGCGTCTGCATTATCCTCACTACCAGCTGCATTGCCACTACCTGAAGCATCAGCGCCACTTGTCGCTGCAGATGTTGTTGCTGCTGCTGAGTCAGCCGCCACCTGTGAAGTTCCTTCCTGTTGATTTGCCGCATCTTTTTCAAGCACAACATGCTGCTGATCCTCCTCACCGCCACCAGACTCCAACATTTGCTGCTGCACTCTCACTATTGGTTGACCATCGGCAGTGTATGATACTGAGACAGGTATGCGGGTACCATCTTCGCCAATTACATGCGCACCTTCACCCAATTCACCGTCATGACCTTGTTGTATTACCAATTGACCATCGGCATTTAATAGTGAAGCATCAATCAATTGTGTTTCATTGTTTTCACCCTGCACCAAAACCATTTGACCATTACCGTCTGTCATCATTTGTAATGTTTCACCATCGATACCATCGCCGGACTGCAAGAGGCCGGCACTTTGTAAAAGTTGTTGTATTTGTTCGGGATCCTGTACCAGTATTTGATTACCATCAGCATCCGTTATGATGTGATTATCCAACTGTAGTAGCTGTCCATTTTCATTAAGTATGAACTTTATTTGCCCGCCTTCTACTTGCGCTTGCATTGACTCATCTAATTCCATTGCTACTTGTTGCTGATTATGATCTGTTTCCCCCTCTCCAGTCGTAGTACCATGTTCAGAGTGGGCCTCACCATTAGCATCTGCAGCGCCAACAGCGCTTGCGTTTGTCTCTTCAGATGCTGTTGTGGTCGGCTCTCCATCTTTACCTGTTTGTTCAGCTTCTTTCGGTTTTTCTAGATCAGATCGTGCACTTTCATCTGCTGTTTCAACACCTTTCTTGGTCACCAACGGTGGCATGTCATCCGGCGTCACTTGTGATTGAATATGCTCTTGCGTATCATTATCATCATCTAAACTTGGCATACTAACAGGACCAGAAATCTTTCGTTCTACGCCCAGACTGCCACCACTCTCCTGTTCTTCTTTGTTGCCACTGCCTTCGGATTTGTCAGCATTCGTGGATGTCATTCCTTCGTCAGGTTGATCTAAGACTGGCATATCTATGCTAACTGATACGGGCGCACTGCTTGTCGGTATAGATTTAGCACTCTAGAAGATGGAAATTTAATATTACATAAGTGAAATAAACTTATGGGAGAAAAAATGTACGAAAAAATATATTTTTTTTGTACACAGCTTAATAACAATTACCTCATTTGCCTCTTGTGCAGCTCCACTATCTGGCTGTGGAATAGTAATATTAAAGGTGATCCCACCAGATCCTTGCTGTGATGTAATAACCAAATTGTCATTACTGTTTTGTCCACCGGCAGACGCAGTATTCGTTCCAGCCCCAGTATTGGCTGCTGTTACAGATACTGAATCACCACCGTTATCATTTTTTTCGGAATGCATTTTTTCAAAAATGCTCTCAATATCAGCTTCCACACCGCTACCAACACCTTGATGAGACGACATATCACCGCCCTCACCATTGTCGCCTTTGTTGTCGTCATTTAGTAATGCAGCAGCACTCGGGTGGAGCATATTATTACCACTCGAGGTTGCTGATGCAGACGTGGTAATAGTAGTACCACTCGTGCTACCACTACCAATACCTTCCTTGTCTTGACTATGCGCCTCCATGTGTTGATTATAATAGTTTTCTTGTATAAATGTCAGTGAACAGATGTGACAGGAGAAGAAGCGTATGTTGTTGGCTGCAGATACGTCGGTGTTGCCACTACTTACAACAGTGTTTACTGTATTGTCACTTAATGCCTCGTCGATAGTTTCTTGCAACAGTTTTTGTGTTGTTAATAGATTTTGAGACGTGGGTTGTTGTTGCTTAGTAGTTGTTATTTGTTTCACTACGGGCGCAGATTGTGTAACTATTTGTTGATGTTGTACTACTGTTGTATTGGTAGTCTGCTGTTGCTGTGGTTGCTGATGTACTTCGAAATGTTTCACCAGCAATTCACGTTTGGGGAAGGACATTGAGCAGGTGCCACATTTGAAGTAGTTCGGCTGATGTTGTCGAGCATGTTGAGTGGCTGCATCTCGTGTCTCAAACCGTTGAGCGCATAACCGACATTTGAATGGTTTTGGTTTTGCACCAGACAAATGCTTTCTAAAATGTTCATCAAAGAGCGGCTTATCTGTGGACTTGAATTGACAATGATTACATGTATATAATGGCGTTGTAGCGCCAGCGTTTTCGCCCGACGTCTGCTGTGTTGCAGGAATTGTCGTAGTACTTGTTACTACTACATTTGTGCTGTGATTTGCTTCCATGTGCTTTCGCAAGGCCGGCTCATTTACAAAGTTTATATGACACACAGCGCATGTATTATCCATTGTGGTATTGTGTTCCCGTACCATGTGCTGTTTCATAGTACCAAAGTTCGGGAAGATTTTCTTACAATTTTTACACTGGAAATTTTGCGATTTGCATGTCTCATAATGGGTATTAAACAGCCGCATATCAGATGTCTTATAATCGCATGAAAGACACTTGTAAATTCTAGTTGTCTTGCGTTGAAATGTTTGCGTGCCTCCAACTAAAGTGTTTTGAGTTGAGCCTTGCGTTGATATTTTCATTTGCTGAACTGCGCTAACCACTAATAACATATTTCAAAAAATAAAATAAGGAATACAGTTTTTTAAAAGTAGAAGTGCGTTACATTTAAAAATTTGAACCAAAAACAAAATTCATTTAGGCTTTTGAAAAATAAATTTATATGTTTAATGTTAATAGGTTTACATGCATGCAATGATATAGTTTTGAATAACTTTGATTATTTCTTAAAGAAACATAAATTCTTATATGTTAGTAATTATATGATGGGTTTTATGAAGCATAGTTTAAATTGAATTTACAAAATAAAAAAATTAATACCTGGTGGTGATTGTTTTCCTATATTTGAATCTCCAGTCGCTGTATGCAGTACTTTGCGTACTCTACCCAAATCATTGCTGCTTTCTTCCGCTGTACGTGCAACTCCTCCACTATTTAATTTTTGCATTTTAATCGGTGGTGATGCTCCACCTCCGCCACTATCATCATTCAACCCATACTTTTTATGCAGTAGATTCATTAAGTTAGTTCGCACACGTTCCACATCATTCTCCAACCTATCCAAATAGTTAAGCAGGTTCGTACAACGCGCGCAAACCACATCATCTACGCTTACGATAACCATAAAAGCATCACCCACAAGTTGGCCAATTTTATTTGGGAATTTAGTCGCTGTATGTGATGTCTGCGTTTCAGTAAGCAAATTCTGTTGTTGACTGGCACTAAGTGCATCATCGCAGACATAACAACGGTTTGCGTTATTTACATGGCTCTGTTGCAGATTTTGTGTATTACTGGACGTCACAATACCTGAACCTACTTTCTGTTTTAATATGCGAGGCTGGTTGAGGCCGGTAACTGTCACCGCACCGCTTGAATGCAAATTATGAATTTTGCGAACCGCGTTATTCATCTGATTATTCATTTTTTGATGAAGGACACAAAAAATAACAGTTACCGCGACGCGTTAAAACGACGTCAAAGCAGGATTTCACAATTTTTACAAAATAATGCTTTTAGTGTCACCTTATTACCTAAAAAAAAAAAATATTAATTACATTAGTATCAATCGTAAATTTAAATTATAAGTAATATTTCAATACAATTATAGTGCATTTTCAAGGAAACTATTTTAAAAGGAAGAAAAAAATAAAAACAAAATATTATTTTTCTTTAAGCATTACCCATTCACTAGACGACTTTCGTTCGATTACCCCTAAATTAATTTCAGTGTTTTCTTCGTTAAAATTTAACGAACAAGTGACACATGCTTTGAGATAAAACCCGAATTGTGCTTCAGGCCATCATATAATTTAAAGAGCGAGATAAATATATTGCTAATTGAGAAAGAAATGTATCGTGGTTAGGCATCCGGCGGCTATTTTTTTTTATCAATTATTTTATCAACTGCATATATATACATATACCTAAATGCATTCTTTTTTCAATGGGAAGTACACTCGTAATTAAGGCTCAATCCTTTATACTAAAGTAAACTTCGAACACTTCAAAGTCGCTCGTTAATTAAAAATACAAATTTATACTACTTTAATTTTATATTGCTTCAAATTAATAACCGAAGTCTGCATCTATGATCGCACTGTTATGACATTCTTTGAAAGTTGATTAAAGTCCCGGGTATAGTGACTTCTTATGTATTGAAAATTTGTGGGCAAACTTCAAACCGCGCCACTTGATCATACAACCAAATACTAGAGGCAAATAAAAACATTATAAAAAATATTCTGTTCCCACATTCAAACACGCTTCATTTAATCTGGCGGGAGAGTTTATTTATAATTCCATTGATATCCAAATATTCTTATACACGTACACTCGTTTCTAACATAATTAGAAGTTTTATAATTTATTGCTAGTGAAAATTACGTTTCACAAACTTTCTTACACAAATTATTTCTTGTCACAATAATGGCACTGCCGCTAACGCAATCAATTTCACACTGTCCACTACTGTACGACATTTCAGCAAGCACAAAATGAAAATCAACTTAACGAACGAGAAATCGAAACACGAGTAGATGTAGCTAAATTTGCCGCCTCTGTCTACTCATTTTTAAGACCTCAAAATACCTTTTCTAATTAAAAATTGTATTTTCAATTAACTTTATATAGAATATAATACCAATTAACTATACATACAACTTTATGGTTTTAATATTTAACTGCAATTGCTGCATGAACACACCACTAGAGCCACAAAAAAGCAACACTGTACAAAAATTGCCGTTGCAAACAGAAAAATATTCCAAACGCCTAGAAGTGCCGTACGACAATGTCCAATTTAACGAATTGGGTTCGCGTTCGTTCGAATTTTCTACACCACCAAATCGAATCTTTCCCGTAAATGCCTGTGCGCAAAAGAAACAAATATACAATACCACAAATAACTGAACGAAAATTAAAAATTCGTCAAACATAAAACTAAAATGGCCGACATGCTGTTTTCGTTCAATTTATTGTAAGATGCCAAGCGTGATTTCTGGCATTATTTATGCCGCCTATTATGTTCTCTATATTCCCCTTACTATTTAAACCCATTAACTAGATCCGACTTGTTCACCTAAATTTGATTTTATTTCCAATAAATATTACTTTTTAAATGTTAATGTATGCACTAGTAACTTAAAATTAGGATAGTCACCCTCAAGAACTCTAGCTAAGCAACGCGGCGTTGCGCAGAACAAAAGCGACGCAAATATAACGTATCGTATACCTTGTCCCACGCACAGAACACGTTCTTCGCTCTATCGCTGCTTTCTCAATACTGATCGGCAGAGCCGCAAAATCGTAGTAGCAGAGTGCTGACATTGACGTTGGCAGAACATCGAGGGATGCCAAGAAAACTCAAACTTCTGTTCACGTTTCCAACCATACATACGAGTATATGCATGTGTATTCATATGTATGTATGGATGAAAGTACACGCATGCTGTACTTTTTAGAAGGAAAAAGGCGGGTAGTAGCGCATTTAGGAGAACGATCGATCCGAACATATTTTTTTAAAACGACTAAAATACAAAATATATAAATTGACATTTCCATTTAGAAATGTGGAGAAGGTGAAAAACACCATTTTATAACTGAAAACATTTTAATTATGCAATTTTAATCGCGAAGTATACAGGCAGCAATAATAGCCAATTTGGCACAAGCGACAATATGTAAATAAGTACATGACACGTATAGCTGTTAAAATTTGCCGGCTGGGAGCTTCTTTCCGCCAATTTCTTTTTAAAACCATACACATTATACATACATGTGGTTATTATTTCCACGTATATGTGTGTAACTCAATATACAAATATACGTATATATATTTACATATATAAATACGAAGAAACGCGTTGATTACTTGGTGATGTAAGTTTTTGTCACCGGGTACTCGTTACCTTTTAATTACGGGTGGGTTATGAATACTTATTCGCATACAAAATCAAGTTATTGTTTTTTCTTTTACATAGAATAAGTATACTTTATGTTAAAATTATTGTCAATGAAAATTAATAACTGGGCGGAGATGCACAGTAGTTGCATCAATTTTTTGGATATAAAAAGGTCAAACTCATTAGTCTGTTGTGCATATTTTGCCCACAGTCATTTGAGAAAGTATTGTACTTATACATTATAAGTTTTATTTTGTGCTGCCGGTATCATTATTTCTATTGACTTCTTCACAAAATTTTTAACAAAGTAACGATTAACCATATATCTACGCACAGCTCGCAACACTATGTTGATGGATTCTTCATATATATTTACGATATTAAATGTATATATATGTATATACAGATTATAGCAACTTGGTTGCTAAGCAACATAGTAACTAAATTTTGTAAACAAAAATAAAATGTTCTCCTAACTGGAAAAATCATAAAATTGTTCTTAATACACAAAGAAACTTGTTTGAAACCACTCTTCATGTACCAAAGTTGGAAAAAGGTAAAATAATGCGTGGTGTGCTGAAATGGGTGCAGAAGATTGAATTTCCCCACACAAAAGATGACCAAGTCAGGTTGGTGAAATAACATATAAACAACAACAACTGTTACTCAAATTAACAAATTTTTAAATAATTATTTTGATCGCGACTTTATAAATAGTGTACACTCTCTCTGTTATCATCCGGAAGGCAAGCAACTAGTGGTTGCAGCCGGTGAACGTGTGCTTATTTATGACCCCGATGGAACCTTACTAAATACGCTTAAAGCGCACAAAGATGTGGTTAATTGTGTTGCTTACGCCCGCGATGGTAAAAAGTTTGCTAGTGGTGCTGTAGACAAAACTGTAATCGTGTGGACGCCGCAACTGGAGGGTCTGCTAAAATATTCGTAAGTTTTTATGAACCTGCCTTGGCAAGTGCAACCACTACCACTGCATTAAGCTTATAAAAATAATGTTAATTATTTTACAGGCATAATGACTCAGTACAGTGCATGGCTTTTAATCCGGTCTCACACCAATTGGCGTCTTGCTCACACAGTGATTTCGCCTTTTGGTCTGCTGATCAGAAAGCCGTACAAAAGTATAAGATCTCAACTCGCGTCAATTCCTGTTCGTGGACCAATGATGGGCAATATTTGATACTTGGATTAGCTAACGGCAGTATTTCCATACGAAGCAAAGTATAGACATATTTTATAATATCACATAGCTGTACTTACCATTTCTATATATATATTTTATACGTATGTTAAGCTCGGTGAGGAAAAAGGTCGCTTTGATCGTCCAGGTGGCTCTAGTAGTAATGTCTTCAGCTTACAGTGTTGTCCTATGACCAGTACCGATGTCATTGGTGTGGCCGATTGGGGCCAAACACTTTCCTTTCATACACTAAGCGGTCAAATGATTGGAAAGGAACGTGCGCTTGGTTTCGATCCGCTTTGCTTAATGTATTTTCCTAATGGAGAATATTGCATAGTGAGTGGCTGTTCGGACTCACTGCATTTATTTACTAAGGAAGGTGTACGGTTGGGCATACTCGGTGAAGGGTTTAAGTCTTGGATATGGTCTGTTGCTATACATCCAAACGGGCAGTCCTACACGATTGGATGTCAGAATGGTACAGTCGCATGTTTTAACATCGTTTCCAGTACAGTACACGCTTTGTACCGGGAGCGTTATGCATTTCGTGAAAACATGTGTGATGTCATAATACAGCATTTGATATCAGGACAAAAAGTGCGCATCAAGTGTCGTGATTTAGTACAAAAAATAGCTATCTACAGGAATCGCTTGGCGGTGCAATTGCCAGAGCGTGTAGTCTTATATGAATTGAGCTCCGGTGAGGAACAACCGATGCATTACAAAGTCAAGGAAAAAATACAGAAGAAATTCGATTGTAGTCTATTAGTAGTATGTGCACGTCACATAGTCCTATGTCAAGAAAAGCGTCTCCAATGCTTAGACTTTAACGGCATATTGCAACGGGATTGGATAATGGATTCATTCATACGCTATATAAAGGTGTTGGATGTTGAATTTTAAATTATTTTAATATTACATATTTGTTAATATATTTATAAAGGTGTCTGGCGGACCAGCAGGTCGAGAAGGGCTACTTGTTGGTCTGAAGAGTGGCCAGGTTAGTTTAATAGTATTTGTTATTAATACACTAGATGCTACCTCCACCCATAATTCGCAGGTATTTCGTATATTTTTGGACAACTCGCTGCCACTCATGATTACAAGCGTTGTGTCAGCCGTGCGTTGTTTAGATATAAATGCGAATCGAACTAAAATTGCTGTAGTGGATGACACAGGTCGTTTAGTCGTTCGAGATATTGTGAGCGATACCCTACTCTACCAGGTTTGCTCAGGTTATACTCGTAATAATACATGGATAATTTATAAATTATTTTAAAGGACACTGGTGTAAACTCAGTAACTTGGAATACACACCTAGACTCGATGCTTTGTTACACGCACACTATCGGTGGTCTGAGCATTCGCGTTGGTAGTCTACCACCACGAGGACCACAGAATATGTTAGGTGTAGTTGTAGGTCTTTGTGGCGCTACTGCTTTCTGTTTACGTGGCAATGTTATGCATAACATACCACTAGCTCTGGGTGCAACAATGTGGCAATTCGTTGAAGCGGGTCTTTTTGAGTACAGTCACTTATGGACTAATTTAATTTTCTGCTTTTTATTGAAAAATTCTTTTGCAGTGAGGCCTATCAAGTTGCCTGCCTCGGGGTAACCACAGCCGATTGGGAGGGTCTAGCGCAGTCAGCATTAGAAGCGTTGCATCTGAATATAGCACGCGACGCATATGTAAAAGTGCGTAATCTTCCTTGGTTACAGTTCATTGATGAGTTATGCGAAAAGCAGAAACGTGGCGAAGTACCAAAAGAGGTGTTGCAGGGGGAAAGCTGTGCATATGCAGCGAAATATAAGGAAGCTGCACGTCTTTTTCAAAAATGCAATCAGCCTATGCGTGCCTTAGAAATGTATACGGATTTACGTATGTTTGATTTGGCCCAAGAATTCATCAAAGACGGATCCGATGAAGCTAAACGCGAGTTGGTTAAAAAACGTGCCGAATGGGCGTACTCTGTGAAGGAGCCACGCGCGGCAGCCGAACTTTTATTATCAGCTGGAGAACATCAAAGAGCTATCGATATTGTAGCAGAGCAGGGTTGGGCAGATATGTGGGTATGCTCATTGAGAGCCAATTGACATTGCTGATTTCAATTTTATTTACAGTTTATACGATATCGGTCGTCGTCTTAGTTTGAGCGAGCGAACTCCTTTGGAGTCGGTTGCATTCAATTTAAAGCGCTTAAAAGCATTGCCGTTGGCAGCGGAAATTTTTAAGAAGCTTGGCGATGAGGCACAAGTAATACAATTGCATGTTGAAGCACGTGATTGGACTGAAGCTTTCAGGCTGGCTGAGAATATACCTGAAATGTTGTCAACAGTAAACTACCAGCATGCGCAATGGCTTGCGGAATCAGATAAATTTATTGAAGCTCATGAAGGTTAGCATCATAACTATTTTTGAAATATTTAATTCTTTTAAACATAGTTATACCCTGAAGAGGGTATATTAAGTTTTTAACGCCCAGAGCTAAGTCAATTTAGCCATGTCCGTCAAAACAACGGTATAATCTACGAATCAATTTTTGAGATCGGACCACTATAGCATATAACTGATCATTCAAAATCAATTCGATGGAAATCTTTTATATTTGACGAGATATTTTCACAAAATTAAACATGCATTATTTTTTTGTGCAAAGCAACGATACAATCTCTGAACAAATTGTTCAGATCGGATGACCATAGCATATAGTATGTAGCTACCATGTAAATAGAGCGAACTAACCACCTTTTTGCATGCCCAGCGAACTCAACTTATCTAACACCCCCCCTCCCTATGTTCTGACCCTGTTGAAACAGCACATTTCCTATGCCTACCGTTAGATGACTTCGTTGACCGCCAACACGAACCTTACCACACAAGCGGTGACTAGATAAACGCACATCAAAAACGATCAAAATCAAGTTTTTGTATGTAAACTTTTTTATTTGTGAAGGATTTTATAACTTCTCTGTAACCTTAACTGCGGTTTGTTCTTATTTTTTTTTCATTTCCTTACATAGCTTACTTGAAGGCGGGTCGCCTGAAAGATGCTAATCGTTTGCTTAAGCAGCTAAGCACATCGGCTATCGAGGAGGAACGATTTCTAGATGCCAGCTACTTCTACTGGCTGCTATCCAAGCAATACCTAGACATCTATTATAAGAAGGAGTAAATATAAGAGCCTTTTCAAGCCTGAACTTTTTTTTAATAAAACTTTTATAATATTTTTATTAGCGAACAAACGCCTACTGACCACCACTTTAAGGAGTACCAAAATCATTTGCGCATTGCTAAAGTTTACTATGCCTACAGCATAATATTTAATTACATGAAGGAACCGTTTACCACATATTCGCCAGTTAGTTTATTCAACGTGAGTCGTTTTATATTGAACGAGGTGGAGTACAAAGGCACACCGAAGGGAGTTAGCTTATTGTAAGTCATATTTTTTTCTTCAAAGATTAACAAAATATGGAAACTGTTATTTAATAAAATAATTAGTATATCTACTTACATATATTCTTGGTTATTCATGTTTCGATTCTTCAAACATTTTGCTCACCAGCGCTGTACTATTTACGTTGGCAAAACAAGCCAAATTACTGCAGGCTAACAAATTGTGCTTAGTGGTAAACAAGCGTTTGCAATCGCTTAAGCCACCGGCCGGCGTACAAGAGCAAATCGACGTAAGTTTTTTATTTACTTAACTCAGCTATACCGTAAATTATAATTTTGTTCTCAAACACTTTACTTGTAGATAAACTATCTGAATAGTAAGGCATGCAAAAGCGGTTTCAACGATCCGGAGGAACTGTTGCCACTCTGCTACAAATGCTCAAATTACAGTCAACACTTGAATGGCAATAACTGTCCGACCTGCAAGCAGGATTATATTTTCTCTTTTATTTCATTTGGTATGTCCATATGGTATTTAACCGTAATTTATTCGGTGAACTTTTTTTGTTTTTAGAAATTTTACCATTAGTGCAGTTTCATCCAGAGGTTGATATAAATGATGCCGAGGCAGAACGACTGCTACTTGCTCCACCAAAACCTGCTGAGGAAGGTGACCCTTTTAGCGAAGTACAGATGCATATAGTTATTTTGAAAAGTACTACAACTAATATAAACATTTTGTAAAATAGGATGTTGCTAGCGCATTACCACTAAGTCTGGATCGCAATGCATTGCGCGGGATCGACCCAAGTCACATTTTAATAGTTAAACGTCGTGAAAAAAATCTGAAAAATATATATTACCGCAATATTTTACCAGACCTACAAGTAACATTTTGTCCGGAATGTTTATTGGCAAGAATTATAAATCGTATCGACATTTCACTCTTATTTACTAAGAGATTTTTTTCTTTTCAGGTATTTTATTCGGAGGACTTTGAGCTCCAGGTGTTACAGAAAGGTTATTGCCCTTTCTGTCGTACAACATCAGAGAAATTATTTGATGAATATTTGTAAAGTGCCTTGAGAAACAAATTTTTAATAAATATAAATAATTTCTAAAGAGAACAAGTATTTTCTGTGCCTTTAAAGAATTTATTACTAATATAATATTTTATATTAGATTATAAATGCTGGTACATTATTTAGAGTATACACCTTTTCACAATTTATATATACCAAGTATTATTTATTAAATTTATTTAAATAATTATAAATTTTACTAACCATTTTCTATTGCGTTATTTTAGGACCATGTCTCCTCTTGATACCTCCGACATTTTACCATCTGATCCAAATAATTCTCATCTCCATTCACCACTTCAATAAACGCCTCACGAACCGCTTTGGGCATACTATTCGAAGAACCAGCAACCAATATCACAGCCATTTTCTTCAAAATTATTTCACTAATTCTTGCTTTTTCTTTTGTTATCAAATGTTGAACGTACACTTTGTGTTCTTGATCACGTGAGAATGCTACAAACACTTCACAGCATTTCTCGCTTTGCCAAGTGGTAAAATCATCAACAAAGTGAAAGTCCTTCGTTTTATTTCGGCAACCGAAGAAAACAATCAAATCGCCGATTTTGGCGCCACTTTTTTGTTGTTCTTTTCTATATTGTATTACACTCCGAAAAGGTGCGATTCCTGTACCTGGGCCTACCATTATAATTGGTGTTGCCAGGTCGGTAGGCAATGTGATTGTACCTTTTTTTATCATACCAAACACTCTACATCCAATAGGTAACGATTTTAACCAATTTGAACAAAGCCCAAGTCGTGGCGTTGACATTTTGGTTTTATACTCAACCACTGCTACGAGGATATCAAGTGAATGTGTGAATGGCATTGATGCAATTGAAAAACTCCGTGGTTGTATGACTGTGAACATCTCAAACAAAATTGACAGTTTTAATTTTGAAGCACTGTGCCGGAAGTCTTGTAAAACTTCTAGAATTGTACGTCTTGGGCGATTCACGTAATTTATAAGGTCATCTAAACCTTCTATTGTTGCGAATTCTTCTAACTTTTCCTTCTCCAATTCATCTTCACAATTCAATGACAACAATTCGAAAACACGTTGATTTGGGCGGGCGCTCAAATCCCAAATATACTTTGCTAACATACCCACATTTACTGGATTCGCGTAAGCCAATGGCACTGGCATATCCTCATACACAGTTTCAAGATTTACTACTGTTTTTTCATTAAAGTCCAAATTATGTTCTCTGACTAATTCGAAAAATTTTTGAAATTGCTCATCGGAATTAGTAGGCCGTAAGTCTAAGATATCACCGGCATTCCATTTAATATGAGAAGGAAATTCGAAACTAAGAAATCGTACATCTTGAAAATGACTTACGTCAGTGGTCCGCCGATTTTCACTTAATGTTAAACTAATAGCTTCACTGTTTAATGGCCATTTCAGCTTAGTCTCCTCTATCAGTGGCGTTTCTGGGGAGAGACAATTCAAGCGATACTTAAAAATAGTCTTTGAATCACCATTTTTTTGCAATGGATTAAACGGTATTGACATTTTCAACTTATTCCACAGCTCTGCAATCCATGGCAAAGCGGTCGCACCAAGTCCATGATCATGTTGATCATCGCATAGACCCAAAGGTTGGAGCATATTGCCACCCAGTTGCATTAGACGTTTATTTAATTTTTTAGCTGCAAAATTAAATTTAGCATAGCTGGAATCCCCTAATCCTAAGCAAGCGAATTGCAAATTTTGCAGTGAATCTCCTGGTAAGCTTCGTCGCAATAAAAATTTCCACGTTTTTCTCATATTATCTGGTTCATCGCCATTTCCTGTGGTGGCTACAACAAAAATTGCTAATTTTTCCTCAATTAATTGCTCCACTGGATACTCATCCATTGGTAATACTGGGCCACTAAAACCCCACGTTTTGGATTCGCGCCAAATTTGTTCTGCAACATTTTGTGCTGTGCCCGTTTGACTACCATAGAGAATAACCAAACGCATTTTTACACTGTAATTTTTAAATTGTTTTAATGTATATAATTTGTTTAGAACGAAAGCATGGAATTAGCGAAGAAAACTTATAAATTTTTAAGTAAGGTTCGGATTATGAATGAAACAGCTGTGGTTAATATACTACTACTGGGAACAGAATAACACTTTAACAAAGCGCCCATACTTTCCATTCCAAATGTTAGGTTTATATCTCTTCCCATTTTTTCATAATACTTATTATACTTAGGAGTAATGCAAAGGTTGTCTATACATGTGATCACTCTTTTGGTATACAAGTTGCAATAAAAATCACAATAATGAGATATTATAAAGGACAATGCACGATTTCGATTTCTTTGGCAACGCGATCTGATGGTATAAATGGATAGACGTGATAATATAGTCACTTTTGCAATTTTGAACTTTAAAAACATATATCTCGAAAACTACAAGTCTGAGGTGGGTATAAATGCATTTATTTTTTTTATCCTGAGGATAGAGGATCATCCATACCTTTAGATCGCGGCGCCAAAGAAATCGTAATTTTGCCAGGACAATACATATGAATATACATTTATAAATTTGACCGAAACTAGGTAAAAAAAAGTCGTCCTTATTTCTATATGAATCTTTTCGATTAATGGTTTTATAGTATTTTCAAGAAACGTTAAACTGTATTAAAAAGTTATAAAATAATACATATCCATTGTTATTACAATAAGTTGACCGACATTTTATCGTATCAGTATTTATAATTTGTTTATTTTTAAATCATTGGTAACCACAAAATCATAATCAGCTGATTGTGCTACCGGCGAATGCGACTGCATTACAAAATATTTATTTACTGTATGTTGTGCAATAAAAATAGTAAAAATGTTAAAAATAGTTAAAGCCACAATAAATTGGGGATTTCCTCCCATTAAGGTAGTAGCAAACATTGGACAGAAACCACCTACATTTAGGTTTTTTTCAACGGGGCACCAAAGATGCCAATTTACCCGAGGAAACGGATCCACTACTGTGTCTTATGAGGGTCGTAAAAAAATAACACCTCTTGGCTGGTTTTTGTTAGTAAGTTAAAAATCTTCAAAATTCTTTGAAAATCCATAAATATTTTATATTATTAGCTTGCGCCTGTTTCCACATTTGGTCTAGGATGTTGGCAGGTGAAACGTAAAACTTGGAAGGAGCAACTAATCAAAGACTTAGAGCTGCAAAAACAAATACCACCGGTACCTTTGCCGTTAGAGTAATATTCACACACACATAATAAAAAAACGAAGCTAGTTTTAATTTTAACATATATTTTTTCCTCAGCTTGACAGAATTGTCCGGTATGGAATACCGTTTGGTTTCTGTACGTGGAAAATTTATGCATGATAAGGAAATGCTTATGGGTCCACGATCATTTATACGTCCCGATGGCGGAGAAACTGCTGGAGGTTTATTCTCCCAACGTGATACGGGTAATGGCTACCTTGTGATAACACCGTTTAAATTGGCGGACAGAGAGTAAGTAATGTAGCTTTTATACATTTTTATTATATTTCACTATGTATTTGTATGTATTTTGACCAACTATTTCAAAATGCATTTACATAAATGTGTCTTTATAGTGAAGTAATTTTGATCAATCGTGGATGGGTGTCGAGAAAGCAAGTAAAACCGGAAACGCGCAGTTCGGGTCAAATAGAAACAGAGGTCGAGTTGACTGGTGTGGTACGCATGGGCGAGAGCCGCCCACAATTTTCTCCAGATCATAAAGGCGGTATTTTTCTATACAGGTATGCTGTGCATTCTTCAAATAAAGTGATTATGCATTTTTTGTTTATATACATTTTTTAGGGATTTACCAAAAATGTGCGCATTAACTGGCGCATCTCCGATTATGCTAGATGCTACCTACGAATCATCTGTACCCAGTGGTCCCATAGGCGGACAGACACGTGTCACCTTACGTAACGAGCATTTGTCGTACCTGGTAACGTGGTTCAGCTTATCAGCAATTACTTCCTACTTGTGGTACCGTCAAATACTAAAGAGAATACCATTTTAAAAGTCGCATTGATTACACTTTTATTTTATGTTATTCGTAAAATATACTTAGTTACTGCGCACATACATAATTGGAATTTAATGCATATTTCAACGTTTCTTTTTTATTGCAAAACGAATTAGTAGGAGCAAAAGTTCGTGTTTAATGCATTATTTTATCTATTTAAATACCTTTATGTAAATTAAATACAATACAAAACTGTATTCGCTTATGTACCATAAGTACCGTTGGCAGGAAATCATATAACTAACTTCGCTACACAGAGCGGTATGAATAGAATGGTTGAAGTATGCATGGCGGTTTTAAACGGCGACGCATTTAAACTTTAAATATGCTTAATACAACGTATATGCGTTATTATATAAAATACATTTTCAGACGTATACATGTACACACGTATTTAGTAAATATTTACAATGATAAATGTTACACCAAAATAATAAATACTGTATATAGGCTACACTTTAAAGTGTTCGGAAACATTTTTTTCGTTTTGTTTTTCAGCAACTTTTATCAACATATTCGCCACTTCACTTGCGACATTAACTTATTTCTACAATTGTGGCACAGTGCCCCAGGAAGGCATTAAACCGTTTCGCTGATAGCGTTTGCCAATCGTTTGCACGTGGAAACCGATCTGCTGCAAGTTCTCATGATCTAGAATTTTACGTCCATCAAATATATAAGCTGGCTTCATCATTGACTGGTAAATTCGTTTATAGTCTAATGTCTGTGCGTGGTAAAAAAAAGCCGTTAATTCACTACGACCTATAGTATACTAAAATTGTACTGCTTGAGAGCTTACCACAAATTCATCCCACTCGGTGCAAAGCACAATTGCATGTGTGCCACGCACCGCGCTATATGGATCACTATGTATCTGCACTGCCTTTTTAACATTTTCCGGCGATTCCGTTACACACGGATGTGTTAGATCGTCGATTATTTGCTCGGGCTCTACCTTTGGATCGTAAATGTCCAGCTTGGCGCCCTCTTCCAGCAATGTTTTGCACACCGTTATAGCTGGTGTTTCACGTGTGTCACCTGTGTTTTTCTTGAAAGCGAAACCGAAAATGGAAATGCGTTTATCTGAGACCGTATTGAAGAGACTCTCAATGATCTGCAAGCAAATTAAAAATAAGTGTAATATGCGTTTTACTAGAAACAACCAATTATTAAATATCACCTTTTGTGAAAACCGCGACTTCTGATACTCATTCATGTCAATCACTTGCTGCCAATACGCGGCCACCTCCGGCAAATTAAGACCCTCGCATATATATACCAAATTCAAAATATCCTTCTGAAAGCAACTACCACCAAAGCCCACCGATGCTTGCAAGAACTTCGCGCCAATACGTGAATCCAGTCCCACCGCACGCGCCACTTCGGAGACATCCGCGCCAGTAGCTTCGCAAACAGCCGACAATGAATTGATGCTCGATATGCGTTGCGCTAGGAATGCATTTGCGGCTAATTTCGACAATTCTGAGCTCCAAGTGTTCGTTGTGAGTATATTCTTTTTCGGTATCCAGTGTTCATAGATCCAAGATAACTTTTCAACCGCTTTGTGTCCCTCGGGCGTTTCCTCGCCGCCAATAAGCACACGATCAGCATGCACCAGATCTTCAATGGCTGTGCCTTCGGCAAGAAATTCAGGATTCGAGAGTATATCATAACGTATGCCAGGCCTTTGATTGGCATGTAGTATATGCATTATACTCTCGGCAGCGCGCACCGGCACCGTACTCTTCTCCACGACGATCTTATTCGATTGCGCGATTTCAGCGATCATGCGCGCAGCACTCTCAACATACTTCAAATCGGCAGCACGACCTTCATATTTAAATAACTTTGATTATTGGTAATGTTTTAGAAATACAAACGTACTTAAATAAATAAACATAATATAAGTAAATAAATATGTATATCTTGTAGTATATACTCGTACATACCCTTGCCGTTGCCGAAGTTTTTTGTTGGCGTATTTACCGATATGAATATCAGATCGGCTTCTTTGATGGCAGTTTCAATATCAGTGGAGAAAAACAGATTAACATTGCGGCATTTTTTGACAACATCATCTAAGCCAGGCTGAAAAAAAAAAATTATGAAAAAAATTTTATCAAAATAATTTTTTTTTGTTTGTTTAAATAAAGTTAATTATTTTTTATAGCCTGAACAGAGTATATTAAGTGTGTCACGATGTTTGTAACACCCAAAAGGAAACATTCGAACTATTTCGTCAGTTTTTGAGATATCGATCGATTTTTCACCCGTTGTTTTCCTTGCGTTGGCCAGAACCTATTGCACCTACGAGAATACCAGCTGCCATACAAACTGAACGATCGGAATAAAGTCAATCTCCATATAAATGGTTCAGATCGGATCACTATAACATATATGTAGCGGCATACATTTGATGAGTTATCTTCAAGAAATTTGGCATGGATTAATGCCTAAGGCAATGGTGCAATCTGCAAAGAAATTGTGCAGATCGAGCCACTATAGCATATAGCTGCCATACAAACTGACCGATTTAAATTCTTGCAAATAATCTTTTGTATTTGTGAAGGGTGTTATAGCTACGGTGCAACCTGGTTTTTTGTTAAAATAAATGAAAATATTTTTTTTTGCTAAATAGAAAAGTAAAATTTTTCGATTCTAAAAGTAGCTTAATTGGCTATAAATATTACATTAAAAAGTAATCAATAACTATCACATAAAATATACATACACATATATGGGTAAATATTTCCCGAGTATGTATGAAGACAGAATTAACTATTATAAACCGCAAGTAAACGCTTTTTGGGACAAATAGTTCAACTTGATTTAAGTTCTGCATACATACAAGTGTGCATACACATTAGCACAAAAAAAAAATTAAAAGTCAAGGAATCTACGCGTTTAAATTATTAATAAATGGCCAACAAATCTGAATTGACGAGCACACAGCCAAACAAACCAATGAAGTTCAATTAACAATAACGCAAACGTGTAGGAAATATAAATGAATTGTTGCGTGAAAAAATCAAACAAATTCATAAGTGGGAATAACGCCACACGTCTCTTCCCATGACTTTGCACACTGTACACATACAGGGTGTTGGCTGCAGAGGCGCTGAGTGGTGATCTTTCGCTGCTTATTCAGAATGTGTATGTACAGAAATGTTTAGTTACTGAATTTGGGTAAGAAATTGTTACACATAGTTATATAAATATGTTTGTATGTGCATTATTTGTGCTAAATAAAATTGCATATTGAGTTGTAGCAGACATAATGAATGCGAATACCCGCACGAAATCGTTATTAAATGATATTCTGCGTACATCCATATGGCTTTGTACATATTATATTACAATATAATTATTTTATAAGCTTTTACGTCTAACTTTTGCAAGTACAGCCATATGTATGTATGTATGTATATACCAAATATGTGTGCAGTAAACAATTTCAGCTGAAGATAAAATACTTCATAAAAGGTATATTTTCGGTTCGTGCTGACTAAGAACGTTTAAATGTTCATATGGAAGAATTGGTGTGTGTTTGTGTGCATGAAAGTGTGTTTCGAGATACGTTTAGGAAGTGACCATGTGAAGTTATTTCAAGTGAAACGCTTCGTAAAAGATTTAACTGAGTACTTTTTCCTGCAAAAGCAAAAGCGCTTAAGTAAACAGAGTACTTATATAGAAATATATGTACATGTGTAGAAAATCAAAATAATGGCAAGATAAAGCAATGTAAATGCTTGATAATATAAGTAGGTTTGTATTACCTACCATATACATTTAAAAGTGTGTGTGCGTGTGCGCAAAAAGACTCGAACTCAATGCAAACCAAAACGGAAATGTGTGCGTAATTAGAGAAACTGTTCTACGATAAGGCATCTGTACACAATACTACTGGAAATTTAGTTAAATTCAATATAGCACTCATTTGGAAGTTACTTTAATAATCCCCTAAAAAAGTATACATATTTAGTTTGTACATATGTACATATACTACATATAAAGTGTTAAAATATCAAAGTTTTTTCTTCCGGCCTAGGCCGGCAACGAATTGCGATCGTTGTGGTATTTGAGTGGCACAAAGCATCCAGTAAAAGTTGTGGAGTCAGCGAAAACTTGCCTCTTGCGAGTCGTCCATCTATCTATCTCTGTTAATGACGAAAACATCAAAAAATTTAAAATGCTTGAAAATCGTCGTGTTAACATCAAATAGATAACAGAGGATCTAAAAATGTCTTATGAATCGATTCAATAAATTTTGCTTAATGTTTTAGGTATGAACCGTGTCAATGCTAGACACGTACCAAAAGCCCTGCACCTTTTGGAAAAACGACCTTGAGTAGTGGTCGCAAAAGAGATGCTTGACAACGTAGTTGAGGTCCTTAAGTCGAAACTGTCAAAAACTTTAGCGAATGGCGCTCTAAAAATGAGCCGAAACCGAAAAAAAACAAAATTGGCTAAAGGTCATTCCAGCTGAGGCTTATAACAAGTATATGGAAAATTGGATTAAGCGTTGGCATGCTTAACTGGGAATTGAGGCTTTCAAATAAAAATATATGTGTTTATAAAAATTTAAAAATATTGTTTCTTGTTAATATACATATGTCAGTAATAACTATTTTAACATACTGGTATATCATTTCAGATAAGGTTTGAATAAATATATTTGTATATGTGTATGTATATATATGTATATGTATAAATAAACTTATATGCACATGTAGACAGGAAATATCTGGCATCACTAGCGGAAAGAGTAAAATTTGTTAGCATAATACTACAAAACTTAGACGAAAAAAATTTCTTGTTTATTAGATTAATAAAAGCAATAAATATATGCATGCTTAATGACGAATCGGTAATAAAAATTTATAATTTTTTACAGTTAGACTTTTGGACGTCCAATTTATCACTAACATATACATGTATGAAACACCATAAATATGTCTATATACATACTAGATCAACGATATAGTTTATTTTTAATGGGCAAATAGTTTTTTTTTTAATTGTTCAAAATAATTTTATGACGCAGCATTGATGAACCAAGAAAAATTGTCTAATAGAATAGATACAGTAGTATCAGTAGCTCATATATATATGTATGTATTTTATTATCAACATTTTTGGTATATAAGAGCCAAAATTATTATACGATTGCAATAAATTTATAATGAATTAGGTTAATAGAGATTTCGGTTATTGAACTTGAAAAAGGTCACTGAAATGTATGTATATATTGAGACTGTATGACCTATAAAATTAATTCGTTTTTAACTTTAGCGATTGGTAATAAACAATAAAAATGGATAAAACTAAATAATAATACATAAGCATAAAACTACGACTAACGGTATAATCAATCGAAATTACCAGGATTTATACGCAGCCAAGAACTGGAATCCTAAAACCATTTTCAAAGGCTAATTATTTAAAGAAGTGCTGTTGCAAATTTTGTTGTTGTAATTAATTTCAGTATTTTTTATTCACTTACTTATGCTTATTTGATGTGGTGCTCTCGATGCATCTGCAGTTCAATGGTAGCACATACACATGTACATATGTATGTACAATTATATAGTTTTTAATTGCTGTTATGTTGGTCATTATCATCAGCTGTTCAACAATAAATTATTGCCGTAAAACAATAATAGGAAACAAGTAAGGAAAGATTTGTTGTTTGCGACCGAACATTTTCACCCCCGCAATTTTCAAATATTAAAGTGTAAGGGTTCAACATTCATCATTCGATAAAATTGTTATTGCATTGTACATATATTACATATCATAAACTTACTTGATTGAACAACATATCCGGCGCAAAGTCTGTTAGATAGGACAGACATATACCATATACGGTATACAGTCAATCAGAAGTTTGATATTCATATATATTTATTATTAGGTATATGAAGAGCCATTTTTGGCATCACAACACATTATTACCAGAAAAAGATGCTGTCTGAGTTTCATTAATATACCTGACATATTGACCGTTCCCACGACAGTCGGGTCTACGTAACCGGAACGGACCCGGATTTATTCCGGCCAAGGACTATCAACTCGGCAGAATTCTGCCGCTACAACATCAACCGATACCTAAGGTCTAAAGTTAACCGCAATATCGAAAATCTTACTATTAGGTATGTATGTATATAGAGGCTAGGGGAAAGATTATCCCGATTTTACTCATTTTTGACACAAGGGCGCTTTATTATCGGGCAAATATTTTCTCTGAATCTCATAAACATCCGGAATTTAACTGGACTCGTCAACGTAATCATATTGAAATATAATTTCATAACTACATTATATATGTATAAAAGTATGTATATCGATTAGATTTAAATGAAACTTTGTTAACAAGTTTGTTCAAACCAACAAGAAAATCATAACAAATAACAAAATATTTGCAGAATTGTGGCCGCAATAAAAGTGCTGTGTCAATACAAATGAAATTTCGGAGTTTACTTTAATGTCTACGCATGCATATTATAAAAATATGTTCTAACCATATACATATGTACGCAAGCTTTCAAATAATAATATTGTTCTAATATTATTATTTTATTTTATTTTGTCTATAAATGAAGCGTATATAGACAAAATACGTGAGACTATTTGTATTAAGTATTTATAGTTGAGTATAAAATATTAAAAATAATTGAACATACAACCTTTTCATAGTGAAAACAAAAAATATACAGCTTTTACAGTGGATTTTTGGTGTGTTAAAAATGACAATATATAAACGATAATTGTATATATGTATGTATATATATATATTTTAAATGTCGTTTGTGTTTCATAAGTAGCTTTACCCTTAAAAATGGTTATGTTGAGAAGACATCGCAGCACTTGAGTCAACTACAGTAACATGAAAGCTTTTGGCACACGCTTACAAACATCATTACATGTACATATACTTAGATGTTTAATTAATTTACACACACAAGAAGTTTAAAAATTAGTATATATGTATATGTATGTATACCTGACATTGATGACTTCAATGAAATATTGATGACCAACTATTAAGTATGATGTGTTTCAGGACCGTGCTTGGTTATGCTTGATTTTTTAATTATCATTTATCTTGATATTTATATTGTACGGCAATTATCTTTACATGATTTACACGATTTGTATTTTTGGTCATGATATTTTTATTTATGAAAAATTACGTAATTTTTTTCTTTATCTGCACTTTCAAAGTTCAAAAATTTGTTTTCGCCATTGAATAACTTTTCTGAACAAGCTTTATATAATACCATATTTGTTTTTGTGTTACATATCTCTTGTATAAACTATGTGTTTATAAAATTATTGAATTTGAAGACAAACTTTTCTATATTATAAAGGTTTTTATTTCTCTTAAAATTATTTTTTAAGAGTGGGAGTTGCAAATAAATAAAAAAATATGTACCATTAAAAAAAAACCTTCACAGCAAGGTTAGAAACAAATAAGGAAAAAAAATATTATATTATTTAATATAGATTTTATCTGTTCTAACGTGTTAATTTCAAGACATCTTATGCTTACTACAATGTTGCCGAGGGTATGTATACTTTGTCAGTTTTTTATGATTTTTTTTACAGATGAGGAGAATAAAAATTAAAGTAAACTATGTATAAAAACTATCGTTCATACTTCAAAGACCATGAACTGTAATGCTTTTAGCCATGATTTAAAAAAACATAAACATTTTTGATAAATGAAATATTGGAAAAAATTTTCAACTTCTGACTTGCAGATTTCTTTTCATTAAAAGCCAATACATATTGTACATGGAACGACAAACTTTACATTTATGATCAGAGTATGTATGGTATATGTACAGCGTACAAACCAATGCACTTTATTTAGTTCATTGACTCTTTCGAGCACATGTGCTTGAAAAACTTGAATTGTTTATACATTTCTATACACGCATCCATATTCACATAGTTTGTGTGCTTTCTTTGCATCATTCTCGCCTAACGATCTATTGATTACTACAATAATTTTCACAAATTTATCCAATGTTTGCAAATTTACTTATTTTGTTTCGCTTCCTCTTTTTGCACATTTTTTTACCGGTGCTCTACTATGTGTACTGTTTTTTCCCAAGTGATCTATGTTTTTGTTTTAATTAATGCACGTTTTATAGAGTTAAATGGAAAGAACAAGAAAAAAATTTGAAGACATAAAAGTTAACTAGGTGAGAGTATTAGAAGTGCTTGTACAAAAGAAAAATACCTAACAGCGCACCTATTTAAATACTTGGAAATAAACAGAACTAAATGCATAATCCGTGTTAATAATTTAGTTACGAACTTATATACATATTAAGTTAATAACATATGCATATACCTATATTTAAGAATTATATACCTTTACGTACATTGTTATCGAAACGGAAAAAACGTAGCTTTAAACGTAGCCCTGAAATACATTTTCCTAATATTTATTATTATTTTTACACTAATTTATTTTTACTGTTATTATAGTACACGAGTAAATAATAAACATGCAATGCATTGTATTCAAAAAGAGATAACAAACACAAGACTTTAATTTTAAGCTTCACATTTTTAAATATACTCTTTAACTCTTAAAGTAAAGTTTACACAAAAGCAAGAAAAAATGTTAACTTTGGTTGCATCGAAGTTAGGGAACTTGATTTGGATCGTTCAGTTTGTATGGCAGCTATACGTTATAGTGGTCCGATAACGGCGGTTCAAACAAATGAGCCGCTTCTTTAGAAAAAAAAGGATGTGTGAAAAGTTTCAGATCTATATCTCTAAAACTGAGGGAGTAGTTCGCGTATAAACAAATACGCAGATGAGTATTACAAACTTCGTAGCAAACTTAACATACCCTTTCCAGGGTATAAAAATTGTCAAAAGTTCGTTGTAAGCAAAGCTAAAAAGCAAAAATGAAATTAAAAGATGTATTGTTATAAATAAACGATAGTTAAATAACATTAGTTTAGTGGTTTATATTTATAGCATATACAAATTTTGATTAAAGGAAGCAAGACACATATTCCCATGACATTGACCTTACTGTAAATAAGCGCTAAATACGCCAAACAACCAAAAATCGAAGAGATGCTGAATGTGGCTGAGCTTAGTCAGCTTTGAATCACGCACAACAGGTTTTGCTTTTTACTTTTTCAAACAAATTTACAAAATTATGTTTTCTCTCTAATATATATGTCCACAAAAAATTGCTCAATTAAGTATTGCTAATCTATGCAGGTTTTGTTTACTAAAATGTAAAAGGCTGTTTTGTTATAATAGGACTTACCTCATAAATTGGCAATTTTTCTGAATTCCATTGGGCTATTCTCTCGGAACTTCTATCCACCACCGTGACTTGTATATCGGGACATTTAAGCGCCATTACCGCACAAGTCGGGCCACCAACGTATCCAGCACCGATACAACACACTTTCATCACGGTTAATGTATCCATTTTAGTTGCAGATTAAGCTAATTATGCACTGTACTTTATACACTTTAAATTTGTAAAAATTGCAGGATTTTTAATTGATAAATGCGAACACAAAAGTTGAAGTTTTTTTATATACAAATGTGGAACTTTTCTTGCTTCGTATTTTTTTCAGGAGCGCTTAATTCATTTGTGCACAATAACTACGCTCGTATCGCGGTTAAACAAATGTTCACACCTTGTTGCTCGTCACAGAATAAAAGATTTAAGCACGGGCATTTTTTATTTATTAAGTTTTCCAATCGCTTTGTGCAGGCGTTTCGTAGTTCTTATCTAAATTTTTTTTTGTTGAAAATGACAGCTACCGGCTCTCTCCTGAAATGTATGAATTTTCTCTCATCACACAAACAGGGTTGCAAGCGCAATTGTTTAATATGTAATAGATTAGTTATACACAGAAAGAATGAAGTAATTTTGAATTTGCTATACATTTTGAACCGATTTAAAAAATTGAATTTTCACATATGTTATTTCTGTATAGGTTTTAAATCTTCTGCAAGAGATAGGTTTGGAGGATAGTGCAAAATCACCTGTCATCGAAATCCCTTAGTGATAGGTCCAAGAAATGTTTTGTTTCGCCGGGGTCGGATTAAAGGCGGAGGGTTGTTAAGTGAATGGGTTTTTCGAGTCATGCAAAGTTAGTGTGATGCGGGGACTCTTTTCTCGCAGGACAAAAGTTTTGTATGTCGGGGTCTATTCTGGATAAGTAAAAGTTTAACCTGCAAGAGTATCCAGGACGAAGTTGCGCTAGGGTCACTCTAGTTTCACTCGGCAATTTCAAGGACGGCTCCACTGTGAATACCGTTCAAAACCTGTTTGAAGTTAGCCGCGTCAGTATATATTTGGGTTGGTTAACGTATTGTAGGAATGTTCTTTTGATGCTCCTAGGGGCCGCTCCGAATAAAGCATGTTAATATCTGCGAAAGCATCCCTACGGAAACTGCTAGGAGAGGAGTACATTATCTTCCTCAACTGGAAGCCTCCGGTCATCGCTATAGAGGTGTTTAACGGGGATATCAAGAGACATCGTGTGCTATTTCGGAGTGCAGTGTTTCAGAATATCTCAATCTTTCTCAACTATGTCCGGTTGTATCCAGGTGACCATATTGCGGCTGCCTAAGTGATGACTTGCCGGTCGAATGCGTTGTAAGTGCCCAGTAACGTCCCCAGGTGATGGCGGGTAGCGGTTTGAACATCTTGTTGTGGCTCAATTCTTTGAGAATAATCGCGGTCGTATGCGGAGTGAAGAAGTACAGACTACCAAACGTAACCATTAAAATTTTGAGGTTGTTCACCGACAAAATTTTTGAGGTCCAGTCTTTATTCCTTCCACAGTGAATAGGAACGCTGTGGATTTAGCAGGGGAGAGTTTACCTTTTCTTTATAGGAAGAAACGTTGAATATATTTGACGATCCCTATACAATGGTACTCTTATGGTAAACTACATTACTCTGGGATACAAAACAAAGGCGATTGAAAGGTGAGTTCGGAGCGGTATTGATTCTCATAGAAGCCTTTCCATTAAAAGAAATACAACACCAACGTTGGCGGTCATATTATTTTGGAGTAGTCAGGAATTGTACTGCAGACGAACTTAGTGGTAGCCACATACTGAACTGAATTATTCAACCAAGAAATCCACCCTTAGTTTGTTTCATTTGCGTTATGTAATACTTAACGGTGAAAGGGATGTGAGCATTCAATGAATTTAACTTTCTGGTATTTACTTCATTATGCTACTGCAATTACATTTTGGTGGGATTTCAGTATTTAGTTTTTGTTTAGACAACCAAACAACCTTACAAGGTAACCATGTCAGATCTATGCCGGCTATGCCGCGCCATGTTCAAATATCAATTTCAACTTTTATTGCTCAGTAATTATACACCTAAAGCGTCAGAAATAAAACAAAAAACAAATATAATTTCAAAACATTATGCTGAAATTAAATTGAAAGCATTCTGACAACTTGGAAAAGTTTTCACATTTCTACAATATATTAATATATTCAATAATTATAAAAAAAAATATAATATTATATATTTCTGTGCAAATACATTTATTTTGCTAAAATATATTTTTCCCCTCACTGAATTGGACGGTGGTCAATATTTTAAAAATTAGTATAAAACATTTAAATAAAAAATAAGTAATGTCTGATCTGTTGGTTGAAGTGAAAAAATTGGAGCCACGCGCCATTTTCGGTGCTAATGGAAAGGTCGAAAATGGAGTCCAGTTGCATCCCGACAAGGTGAGCATGATATACTCGCTGGGCAACAAAATCGGCATTGCCAATACGTTAAATAATAAGCAAGAGTTCTTAAGCGGACACACACATGCCGTCTCCTGTCTGACCATTAGCAAAAGGTATGAAAAAAGGACAAAACCCGTTACAAGTATATTTAAATTAATTTGTAATTTACAAAATTTCGTGTTTTTGCGCGGCAGTGGTCAATATTTAGCTTCGGGACAACGAAATCATATGGGCTTTCCGGCTTACGTGATTATGTGGGATTTTGCTACACGCACGCAATTGGCTCGTCATGATCTTCACAAGGTTTTGGTACAATCAATTTCCTTTACGGCGGATGAAAAGTGTTTGGTATCTGTTGGTGGAAAAGATGATGGCACCGTAATTGTATTAGACACTGAAGCGCGGTAAGTCGTTCGATTAAAGTCATGGTAAATTGGAAGAAAATAATTTAAGAACAGATGTGAACAAACCAAATAGTTTAAAAACAATTTAATCGAACATTGGACACTATTTGGCCTTTTTTGAAAAATCGATTTTATAAACTTAAATGTTTCGCAATGTCATATCCTTCTTCTGGAAGTCCAAAATTAATCGCGATAGTGGTGGGCTTTGACTTCATGATACGAGGTCATTCGAAAAAGAAATGATCGCCTTAACCTACAAAAATAAAACACAAATTTTGGAAAAATAGAGTTTTGAATTTATGGCTCAACATAGTCTTCTTTTAAATATGGTAGATTAGGAGATAAGCTTTGTGGAGGTCTGCGGCTCCTTCGACTTAAATTTCTCGACTTAAATTTCTGCCTGGCGAGCGACTTTTTCAAGTTTAAAAACAAAAAGAAGTCGCAGAGAATAGGATTGGGGCGGCAATTCGTAGCCTAATTCCACCAAATTGGTTGTGAATATTTGTCTTCTTCAGTAATTTTAGCGTAAAATATATGTATCTAATAATTCGGCATATTGGTGCCATCTGTTTTACACTTTTCCAAGGTAATCGATGTAGATCGGATTAAGTCCATCTTTTCAGATACCTACAATCTCAGTTATCTCAGGCACCTTTAATTAGCGGTCTGCCAATACATAGATTTTGGTGACGCTTTTTCCGTAGTAGCACTTTTTGGGGCACGTGGTCGTGGTATACTGCATCTCTTTGATTTCACTGCACGATTTTCCGTCCGACAAGAATCGAACCCACTCTCGCGATAGTGGCTTTTATCATCGCCTTTCATTCCTGGATATTAGTCGACTTGCATACACACATACTCAAGAGAAGCTTTTTGGCAACTCATACAGATTTCAAAACTATTTCACAAAAAAAAGTTGAATTTAATTTGAATCTTCTTTTTTATTGCCTTAGTACCCCAATATGTCAGACGCCGGCAGCTCGCTCAATTTCCGGCAACGCACTCACCGTTTGCTCGCTACATAACAGTCCGTCTCATTTCATTGTCGCTGGTGACCGTAAGCGCCCTTAGCTCGATCTAAGTATTATTTACAATATATTAATGTTTGAACCTTTTGTGTAGGACATCTGCGCATGTGGAGCATTCAGCGCGAGCAGAAGAAACTTCATGTTCACGATATGCACGTGGGCAAGCTTCAACGCATCTATACAGGCATGCAAGTGGATGAGAAGGATGAATACCTTTATTTAGGCACAATGACGGGTGATATCGTTAAGGTCGCGCTAAAGTGCTGTGATCCGGTGAATGTTACGAAAATTGGCATGACTGCGTCGATGTTGGGCGCTTTCGGAAAGCATAATCCCCGTAAGCCATACGGCAAGGACTGTGAACGTTATGTCAATGGCGTACGTCACTTGTGCATTGTGAAGAAGGGACTGATATTGGTTGGTGCTGGCGATGGCACTTTGGAGTTGGTGGAAGAACGCAAAGACGTTACGCTAGAAATGATGAAGAATTATCCCTCTCCAACTTGGCCAATATTTCGAACAGTATATAAAATACTTGTGATTGTATTTCTATTTGTATGTAAAACCTATTTCCTTTCCAGCTCAAACGCGCCAATGTATATGCTGCCGTGACATCTTTGGTAAGAACCAAAACAACAAGCGATGAGTTCATAGTGTCTACAGAGCAAAATGAAATATGGTTTCTGAATATTGTCAAATTCTCGTGCAAACTGTTGCGGACATGCCATAGCAAGCCAGTTAATCAAATTGTGTTTCCCAAGTAAGCTCTACCTTAATCAGTATCGCTAATGACGTCATAGTTGGTTTGACAGATGGCGCACTAACGAATAACATTTGACAGTTATAAGTTATCTTTGAATTACATTTTCTCTTCACAGAAATTTATCGACGGTCTTTGCCTCCGCTGGTTATCAGAGTATACGAATTTGGTCGATTGGACGTTTACAAGAGATATTACGTATTATGGTATATAACTTCAAGTGTGTGTCTTTGCAGTTCACCAATGATGGCAGTAGCATTGTATCGGCTTGGAATGATGGTGTCATTCGTGCATTTACGCCTATAACGGGACGCTTGATATACGCCATACCGAACGCTCATAATAAGGGTGAGCTTGATGTCGGATTCATAGTGTTAAGTAGAGATGGAATAGCGACCATACATAGCTCAAATTTTAATGTTTCTCATTCCACATTATTACTCTACTGGAAATAACAATTGCAGCCAGGTCCTTCTTCACATGATCTTTCCAACGGAGTGGAGGACTTCCTATTCCTCTGGTTCCACCAGCGGGTACTGAATCGAATATTTTCAGTGATGGAGTATTCTCATCCATCCGGACAACACGACCTAGCTAGCGTAACCGTTGCCTCTTGATTCGCTGAACTATGACAATGTCGCCTTACATCTCGTACAGCTCATCGTAGAATAGACTGCGGTACTCGCCATTGTCAAAGTGCAAGGGAGCATAAATCTTCCGCAAAAGCTGTACACTCTTATAAAAGATTGTACCTTCTCTATCGTCATCGATTGGGGAAAAGGGTTCGCTATATATATACATTCATCAGGCTCGAGAAGTGTTCTCTCCATAACTTCAGTTCGCTCTGGACATCAGCACTAGATCACCTGTTTGGGTTCTACAAGTGTATGATCCTGTCTTGAAACCTTCCGTTAGTCGCCCCATCTTTACGTAGAACTTTCGAGCGATAACCCTGTCGGCCAGTCAGCCCTCATCGTACCAGCTGTTCTTTCGACCGTTCCGAACAATAATGATTTCGCTTTCAGCTGTACATAAGGAGCTTGAAATGCCGTTCCACAGATCCCTTATACCGTAGTTGCTGATGAGTGCTCTCAGAGAGCAGAAGTGCCAGTCGAGTAGAAAACCGTTTAGCTGTCTGTTGTGATTGTAGCTTCTCGATGTCAAACCTTCCTTGTGTTTGTTGACGGGCGTACTTTGCTACACAGGGTGCGTATCTTTGCTACAACAAGGTAGTGGTCCGAGTCGATGTTAGGTCCTCGGAGCGTCCGCACTTCAAAAACACTGGAGACAAGTCGTCCATCTATGACATCGATCTCGATCATCGATCGTTTTGAACTTTTTGATCCAGAGACAGCCAAGTAACTTGATGACTTTTCTTGTGCTGGAATCTGGTACTAATTTATATAAATTTTTTTCTGTGCCTTCAAGAGCGAGCCATCTGATGGGAAATGATAGCCAATATATACCGTATGAAAACAGATTTCGCTCCGAAATCTTTACTTATATTATTTTTGTATCATGAGTAATTAAAAAACTAAAGAAAATACTTGAATATAATAGTAAAGAAAGGGAATGGCTCTTGACACTTTGGATATCTTCTTTGTTTCTAAATTTTCTTCATAACCTATTTTTTACCCATGTACTCTCAATAGATATCTCAGCTTACTTATGGATCAAGTTTGAATAAGTATGTGGATCCCTGATATAACTATATAATTTTATTAAAATAATTAGGGTACGAAGAGGGTTATATTCCGCAGTTGTAAGGAAAGCTTGAAGAAATAATTTGAAAAAGTAATATAAGATAAATGCCTCTAATTTAAAGATATGCTCCACAAAAGTTTGGGGTTTAGAGCTGTTTAAATTTCCAATATGATTTTCCATATACAGACTTATTGGACAATTATTTATATATGTATGTATGTATCCGATATCTATTTATAGGGTGCAATGCATTGCGGGTCTCATCGACTGGCCGCTTACTTGTCACCGGTGGTGTTGAGGGGCAAGTGCGTGTATGGAAAATTGAACCGTACCGACAGAGTTTAATTGGCGTTTTAAAGGACCATTCTGGTCCGATATCGTCGTTAGACTTCAATCATTTGGATACTGAAATTATATCCGCTTGTGTAGATGGCTCTTGCGTTATTTGGGATGTAAAGTATGTGAAGTTTCTTAACAACACTTCAACTTCTTAAGCATGTAACTAAATATTTTTATTTTCTTCAGTCGCATGACTCGTAAATTCGTCGTCACCTCTAATACACAGTTTATGTGTGCTCGCTATTTTCCGACCGGTGTTCAGTTGCTCGCCTGTGGTTCCGATGGACGCATTAGCTATTGGATGGTTTACAATGGCAGTCTTATACGTGAACTTCACGGCACAAAGAAGAATTCAATCAACTTTTTGGACATCAATGCGACAGGTGATTACTTTCTAACGGTATCAAGTGATCAAACGGTTAAGGTTGGTGGTCTTGAGAAAATTGCCTTTGATTTTATATAGGAATGTGTGTGTAATAATTTCGCAGATGTGGGACTATAATCGTGGCATAACGGTTTGTGCCGGCTACGAACACTCATCACCCGTTCTGAGCTGTGCTTTTAGTCCGAACGGTAGATTATTTGTTACTGGCAGTGTGGATGGTGCTATTATTATATGGGACGTGCCGGAAGTGAGCTTAAAAAATATATTTGGAAAATTAAATTATTACTGAAAACTAATTTGAACTTTGCCTTCATAAACATAGGAGTTCTGGGGTAAGGCAAATCCTCCCCCACAAACAGCGGTACCGGAAACCGCAAGCAAAATGGAAGCACCCGTTCAACCTGCTCCAAGGGCCTCTAAGGCTGAAAATATCGACAATCTCTTGAAAAGCTCAGCCAAGGACAATGTTTGTTGCGTTGAATGTCCACCCATTAATATGAAGAAACAACCGGATATCAATTGCGATTATATACCGGATATAAAAAAATGTTAATTTATTTTGTACATTTATTTGACATTTTGATGAAATATATTGTACATATTCGAAAAATAAAGACACACTCGCTCTTACTCGTCTTCATAACCGATTTCAGGTAATGCGTTGGTATGTGGATTGTGAAAGAACGATTTGGTGCCATCACCCCAGCTGAAGGGTTTGTCACGCTTATATAGATGTGGCCACTTTTTGAATTCTTGACGCTCCGGATGTGTTCTCGTTGTGAGTATTAATATATTCAGCAATACGACAGCTGGTAAAATGGCGAATAAACAAATTTTTCGGAATGTTCCCGCCGTGCTGGTGCCTGCAATTATAAGAAATATAAATATAATATGAACGTATAATCAGATTTTTAAGTATAAAACCAAGTTTTTATTAAAAGTGAAAAGCAGTCGGTCCTCTGTCAAAATAAGTAATGCTATGATAAACTCTATTCCTACCATTCTTTATAATCAGAGAAGACGTTTAAGACTCTTCGTCTGATGCACTTGATATTATAATATATTTAGTTTTGAACACCACTGACCGAAACCTATGTATAATAATAACAAATATACCTATATGTGCGTAAAGAGCTTTGAACATACCTTTGGTTGGTGGCTGTTTTTTCGGCTTGCAACTGGACTCCCTTCCAGCGCCACCCAAAATTTCAGGTTTTTTGTCAGCAGTTGGTACACCGCCACACCTACTTGCTTTTGCATCTTTCTCTCCTTTTTTAGATTCACATAGATTTAATTTTTTTATTGGTACACATTTTGACTCACTTTTTCCATCTTTAGAGGAGGCTGAGGCTGCACTTTTGCTAGGCGGCGCACACTTTGACTCACTCTTCCCAGGTTTAGAGGATCCACCTTTGATAACCGGCCCACTCTTTGAATCACCTTTTCCATCTTTAGAGGAGGCGGAGGAGCCACCTTTACTACCCGGCGCACACTTTGAATCACCTTTTCCATCTTTAGAAGATCCACCTTTGCTTGCAGAATAACGTATTGTTTGAGTTAAAGCGCGTAATACTGATAATTTTGATATTTGATACATTTTCTTCTAATTTATATTATTGCTCCGAAAGTTATTTATACACAAGATGTATTGAGGAAAGAAAAAAATTGAATAAAGAAAAAATTGAAGTAAAGCTCCATGTTCACCAAAATGAGGAGTAGGTGTTCGGGAAGAATCATTAACCGCTTGAGAGCCACGCTACTGTGATTGAATGGAGACTAAACTATTTGAAATGTGTTTGTTACATTGGTGGTTGGAGTAGAGGTTTAACTCAAACAAAAAAAAAAACGGGAAATAGACTCCTTGCACTTATAAGGTAAAAGAAATGGTTTAGAGATTGATGGTAACAAAACAATAAGGCGAATATCAAAAGGAGAACAAGGACTTTCAAAGATGAAATTAAACTGAAAGATATGTAGTATTCACATCCGTAAAAGCCGAATAATCAGCATCATAAAGACTTGCATAGACCATATGTCAAAGAGGTATAGCTAAGATTCTATATAATTATTAAACCATTGGAGGTAACCACAAGCGGTCGGTCCTACACAATAGTAGTAAGCTACCAAGCTTCTTTCTGTCATATACTGGTATGTAAATGTTTATTGATAACGATTGAAGACGACAACAATCTAACGAATGGCGGACCAAAAATGAGCCGAAACCGAACCGCTTCAAAGTCGGTCAAAAATCAACGCGATACTCATCGTTTTCTTCGATTACCTGGGTGTGGTTCACCATAAATTCGTTCAACAGCTTCAAACGGTCAATAAGGAATACTACTTAGCGGTTTTGAGGCGTCTATGTAAGGCAATACGTAGTAAACGACCGAATTTCCGGACAGAAAGTTCATGGATTTTTTGCTACGATAATAGTCGTCATATTTTATCATGATTGTGACTTTTTAGCTGAAATTAGAGTAATCGCTCAGTCAAAGTATTTGTCTGATTTGGCTTCCTGTGACTTTTTTCGAAACAGAAAAATCCGCTCCATGAGTTCATTGAAGCCATTAAGATCCCTCGATGAAGGCGCTGAAGGCCATCCAGTCGAGGATTATAACTAGTGATTGGATTAGACAAGCATGTTTTGATTCGAAAGGAGAAGATTTTGAACCCGATCATTAAGATTTGTATTAATATACGTGAAATTTTTTTTTTTATCACTCCGGATCAATTTTATTCAATGGTAAACATACTATTTTCAATTAAAATATATTAGGTAATCGAATTTGGAATTCGTGGATGAGTACAAGAAGAAACTCGATCAAGCATCTAGCAGAGATTTAAGAGATATTACTATCTGTATTTGATATAAATATTAAAATGTTTTAATATATAATATAATCCGTCACTTTGAGCATTTTAAGAGCGTAAATCAGAGAACACCGCATTATTTATTTGATTTGGCTTTGTGTACTAAAATGTCGTGAAACCTCTCCGTTCTCAAAACGCCACATATGCGCATAGTTATATTCAAGAGCATGTGTTTCACGGAGAATAGCTGGAAGAGCAGTAGCTCAACGACACCAAAATCGCTCAGCTCATCATTCGTTTCGTAGACAACGCGTTAAGCGGACGGGCTGATTGTAATTTCTACACAATTTTGGCAAGTAGTAAGTAGTTCAGCACAAATTTCTTTTTACTCAAAAATTTATACAATCAAATAAAATCTGCGCATTTGAAATGAAAAGGAAAATCAATATTACCTTGTGAGGACAAATGGTTGCTGCAAGATTTGTGCAATTAGCGGTGCTTTGCTTTTAACTGTGCGACTGCCATTTGTGCATAGTAATCACTATGTACCGATAACCTCACTTAGTTCGAGACATACAAGTGTATATAAATTTATTCTCTATAAACAACGCCACTCTTTGCTTTTGAGTGTTTCGATTACATTTGTTTATTGACTCAAAAAATTTAAATAAATTTTGGTTCATCTTTTCTGATCTACAGAATAAAATCACAGCAATCAACTTCAATAAAATATACTTACACTAACAACAACGATTGACATATTTACGAAGACATTATTGTAGAACGGGTCAGCGACGAAATGGGCACCGCAAATGGAACCATTCCTAAGCACACGGCTTATCTATTGCGTTTAAGTATTGTTTTGGTGTTGTTTATTTTCGCAAGCATTGATAAGACCAGTGCATTGGGTCGATTCCGTAATGGGCGTTACGATGATGGATTTCTAGGCGAGCCGAGCAAATTCGAGTCACTGCGGCGCAAGCCAGAGCCGGAAGACAAATGGTTTGAGCAAAAGCTGGATCATTTTGGTGAAAAGAATAAGCAACTCACTTGGAAACAGGTATTTTTGCTTACGATTATACTTATATTTAGGTATTTTCAGTTTGCCACGAAATTTGTACCACTTAGAGGGAAACGTCGGAGACCCTATAAAATATATACATATGTACATAAATGGTCAGCATTACGATCTGATTCGATTTAGCCATGTCCGTCTATCTCTCCGTCTGTCTGTATATACATGAATGAGTCCCGCAGTTTTTGAGATATCGACCTGGAATTTGAACACGTCCTTTTCTACCTGGAATTTAAACACGTCCTTTTTTGTCCATACCGACGGAAAGCTTTTACGTTTGACGAAATATTTTAAAAAAATTTGGCATGGATTATTGCCTAAAGCAATGGTGCAATCTCCAAAGAAATTGTTCAGATCGGATCACTATAGCATATAGCTGCCATACAAACTGAATGAAAATTTGACATGGATTATTTTCTAAGACAACTGTGTAATATCCGAAGAAATTGATCAAAACGGATCACTGTCGCATGTAGCTGCCATACAAGTTGACCGATCAAAATTAAATTTTATAAGGAATCTCTTGTATTTGTGAAGGTTATTATAGCTACGGTGCAACCGAAGTTAACACTTTTTCTTGTTTGTAAACATATATGTATATATATACATTATTGGTTTTGCATTTTACAGCGTTATTTTGTGAATGACGAGTTCTATCGCAACGACAGCACAGCACCAGTTTTTCTAATGATCGGCGGTGAAGGTGAGGCATCGAAACGTTGGATGTCCGAGGGCGCTTGGATTAAATATGCCGAACATTTCGGTGCGCTTTGTTTCCAATTGGAGCATCGTTTTTATGGTAAAAGCCATCCCACAAGGTAAGAATACTCAATAAATACTTTCCGATAATTTAGTTTATATTTAATTTTTGTATCCTTTGTAGCGATCTCTCCACAAAAAATCTGGTATATCTGACTTCGGAACAAGCGCTTTCTGATTTGGCTAACTTTATACGCAGCATGAAGAAACAATATAATATGAATGATAATCAAAAATGGATAGTTTTTGGCGGTTCATACCCGGGTTCACTGGCAGCTTGGGCACGTGAAAAGTTCCCTGAACTTATACACGGCGCTATCAGCTCGAGTGGACCGTTATTGGCTAAAGTGGATTTCAAAGGTAAGATTAATATTTTTTAAAAGAGAAATTGAGAGCTTAAAAGCAGCGTTTAAACTGTTGACGAAATTTGTGAAAGTATTGATTTGTCTAGGCAGAAGATTAATTTCTATGATGTCCGCTCATTCATATATGATTGGAATAAAAGGTTTTTATTAGTATTATTTTGAAGTAAAAGTACCTAATTGCGTACATAATGAACATATAAACCACTTTTATTAATTGAAGAGCACAAAGTTCCTCGAAAAATACCCAAAAATATAAGAGGGCGTAAGAGTAGAAACATTGGTACTATTTCACGAAAAAAAAAAAGTTTTGTACCTTTTTTTGTTTTGGACTTTAAATATTTTACTTACATATATTTTAATGCCACTAAACCACTTTTAAATATATTTACAGAGTATTTTGAGGTGGTGAAAGCTTCATTGGCCACATACTCTACTGATTGTTTGGAAGCTGTGAGACGTGCTTTTGCACAAGTTGAAATTTTAACACGTCACATGATCGGACAGCGCAATTTAGATGAAAAATTCAAGTATTTAACATCCTAAAAGTTGAAGCTTTCACATTTTTTAAACGAACGATTTTCTTTTGTTTTTTTTTTTAGAACCTGCACACCTATTAAGGACTCCATAAATAATCCATTGGACATGTCCAACTTCTTCGAATCTTTGGCTGGCAACTTTGCTGGTATTGTACAATATAACAAAGACAACAGGCCTAGTGCCAAATACACAATCGATGATGTGGGTTTTTCAAATTAGAAATACTAAATGTTTGTAATTAAAACATAACTATAACTCAATAATCTTTAACAGCTTTGCAATGTTATGGTAAATACTACCATTGGTCCACCCGTAACTCGTCTCGGTGTTGTTAATGATATGCTCTTGAGTGAGTCGAAAGAGAAATGTTTGGATTACAAATATGATACAATGATTGCTGAGCTAAAGGAAACTTCTTGGGACGCTAAAGCATGTAATGGCAGTCGACAGTGGACCTATCAGACTTGCAATGAATTTGGCTTCTATCAAACCTCGAATAATAAGAGTGACACGTTCGGTGACCGATTTACAGTTGACTTTTTCATTAAGCAGTGCATGGATGTTTACTCAAAGAGGTACGCTATCTTTTAATTAGACACTCTTTTCTCAATAACTCTAATTTTTAACTATTTCATACAGCATGGACTCGAAATACTTAGAGCAAGTTGTCTCGCAGACAAATAAAAATTATGGCGCACTTAAACCCAACACCACAAATGTGCTCTACGTACACGGTTCCATTGATCCATGGCATGCACTCGGCTTGACTGCTTCGAGAAATCCGAAATTGCCCACAATTTACATTGAAGGTATGTTAGCGCCTATTATAGACTTATACTAATATCTTCCAATGGTTTCTTATTCCTTTTTAGGTACTGCTCACTGCGCCAATATGTACGAACCTGCTAAAACCGATCCGCCACAACTTGTAGAGGCTCGTAATAAAATTATAAAATATCTTGCCCAGCTGTTAGAAAACTTCAAGGTGGAACTTGCCTAAATATTATCAAATAAGCTTTATTGAGAACAATTATATGTTTTTATTTTACGCTAATACCAAATGAAATTCGAATATAACTGAACAAACTCTATCGAATATATGCCCTACTTGTAAATACATATATTTTTTATATTAATATGAAACAAAAATTATTTGTTGAGTTAATCAAAGTATTGCGTTATAAAGTAATGAAAGTAGTACATTCCCAGTTAACTAAAGGCTTCTTGAAGGAGTGCTCCGAGTATGGAATCATCATATTGGCAATTAATACTTGTATACCCTGTATGACAGGTGACGGATGACGTATGGTTTTTTGCTCTCGCCACATTGCACAGAGAGACTCTTGGTGTCTCTTTATTACAAAAATATTGATTAGTTAAACTACGAGCAGTCTTAAGAGAATGGTAATAATGTGGTCTGTTAGTAAAAATGTATAAAATCGGTTCAATAATTCCACATATACTGAATATAATGTTTTCGTTAATCTAGTTGCTATATATTATTGTATTAAAAATCAATAAAAAATCCGTTCAAGTTATCTTCGAATGATTTAAGGGATTCTATTCACTTATGAATTTTTAAACATTCCGTTTTCCCTGAAACGACCTTCTTAGATATATTTGTCAGATAATGATCGAAGCATACGATATCTGATAATAGTTAAGCTTTTTTAACCCACTCAGAACTGTAAATTTTTTCACAAAAACCGACTTTTTTCTGGGAAGCGGACATTTTGCCATTACCTGTACTCATCTATAGTAATAATATTTTTTTTTTGCTTTCGGGTTTGTGACAATTTTAAGTAGAAAAATCTTTCTCACAGCCAGGCAACTTTTTTCCGAGGTCCTCCAGAAGATCGGTTGTGTAGTAAAGAACATTAAATTTTGTAAATTTATATTTGTTTTATTTATTCAATAAATAAATTGCCTTTAAAAAAATTCACAAGAAGGCGTTTTTTCTGACTTACAAGGGGATATAATCCATTAAAAGTACTATTTAAAATATGTGAATCATAAGCAAACAGAGGAGACCACGAAAGTCTTTTGAACACAGGGAGTTTTTATTTTAAAACTAACTGACCGATGTGCTCCTTTGATAGCATTTGTGAGACTCCCTGAACCGGTGAGCATACATATTGTATTTTTATGTTTATTGGCATGCTTGCCCAAGCTTAAGAACATTATTCGAACTATCGTAAACTACCTAGCTTAATAAGTACTACTACTTATAGATGGTTTTCTAATCTAATCCACGGCAAAGTTTCTTTTTGTGGTCAAAAAGTCGAAGTCCAACAGCAGTAATCCAACTACAAGTACATATGTTTTGCCATAAATAAATAAACTATGAGCTGAGATGCAACAGCACTATGTGCCACATGTAAAATGATATCTAAAAGAATAACAAAAATTTAAAAATTTTTGAGTTTTAAGCAAAATATTATTTAATACTTATCAAATCTAAGACAATAACGACATATAGAGTTTTATATAGATTAATGTAATTAATTTCAAGAGCGATTGAGACAAAATGCGACGGGTTATACATAATATAAAAAACCATCTGTTAAATTTTCATAGTAATTTCTTTTTGTATTTTTCTGGGGTCGAAATGGTCCTTATCTTTATTTCTTGCTTATTTTATTTCTATATTCTAAGTTAAACTTCAGTCTAAGAGAAAACTCTTAATAGAAGAGAAGTTTCTGTGTAAGTCTAATTATAGTACTAATAACAGCAGAAGAAGGACGGTTTTGAGCTGATCTTTGTATTGATGGCTTATAAAACCAATGTCATATCTGCAAAGAATCAATAACAAATTTAACGCCAAGCAAGCCACATATTTATATGTTCAATCGGAGTGTATTATTCGGCTTATTTAAAGAAAAATATATAAATAAACAATTATTAATTAAAGTAGGTTACAAAATGAAACAATAACAATATATACATATATAGGTTTGTGATTACATTGCATTACAACATTTATTAAGAGGATATCAAATATATTAAAACTAATTCAATACAAACATAATCATAGAATTATGTAACAAAGTCAATAAACAGCTAACAACTGTAAATAAATTATATTTATCTAGAATAGCGTAATCGACGATTGGACTAAGAATGTCCTGTAGTTTATCGACACTTATCATTACACACCTGCAATTGATAACAATTTGCTTGTTGATATTTACTTTTAATAATCTTGATAATGCAAAGGCATTTGAATCACGTCGTAGTGTCCGTCACACTATTGACACACCAGAACCGGAAGAAAACTGGTTCGAACAAAAACTCGATCACTTCGATGACACACAGCAGAATATAACATGGAAACAAGTAAGAAAGTGTTAATGCCTTTGAACTCTTATATTATATATGTACAGTGAAGCGCAAAACTATCAACGTGTTTACTAGATGCGACTAAATGTTCTTATAACATTTTTTCTACTAATACTATCGGTAGCATTCATACACCCAAATAAATAGAATACTTTAATTAATTAAAAATAGAAAAAAACATCTTTATTTTATTCCTGAACGAAATTATACGATACCAATTAAGAGTCATTTTGACAGTTTTTCACCACTGCATAAGTAAGCCATGAAAGTCCCTCTATATTTACCGGAATGGCTGGGTTAAGCAACTCAAACGATTCTGAGCAGAGGTAGAAATAAGAATTTATACTTGTATTAGTAACGTTTTGTCTACCTTGGCGATCACTAAAAAAATTTCAAAATTTGTGTTTTATTTTGTCGTTCGGAAAAATTCAATATATGTAGGTCGACAAATGGTACTAAATGTAAAGAAAAAGCAAAATATTGTCAGAGTTATAAATGCTGGAGGCCGCCCACGGTAGCTTACTGATGGCGATGCCCGTGCTCTTGAGCGATTATTGCGCATAAATGAATGTGTAGGACATAGAGAGAGGCTGTCTCTAAGTTAGAACTTCAAGCGAGTATAAGTTTGATGCTCCTTAAATAAAGTTAATATGGTTGCTGCCGTAAAGCAAAATAAACCTGCTTTATCTGAGCGAAATGTTATAATATAGTATTTATAAGTAATATATAATATAATAATATATATAAAAGTAGGTAAATACAGGGTTTCTGGTAGTCCGCCTGGATGTTGTACGGCAACTGGAGAGTACCAAGTGTTTTAAAGCAATGTTTATCTCATAACAATTTCATTCAGCTTATTTTTCAGACCTTTTGCAGATCATAGATATCTTAGGATGTGTTTCCTAACACATTATAAAAAATTTTGATTGCTACATTACATAGTACAATATGTACACTAGAATTTGATAGGAGAACGATCAGATAAGTTATATGTTGGTATGTTGAAATATACTAATATGCATGTTGCAAAGAAGTTAGAATTCCACCTTATATTGGAGAACGTCATGCATCTCTATTGCTTTTCGAGTCGTTCTCTAAAAGTGGAATTTAGAGAGAGGTCTAGTTGTCTTATCATTCTCCGGTCCATAACTAATATTACTTATTAAAATGGGTTTCTCTCAGTACCTTAAAACAACTCGTACTATTGCAACCAACAGTTTCTACCATAATGCCTAAGCTTGGTCGTCAATATTACAATAAAATATAATGCGCTATTAATCAATTTTAATAATATTTTTCCAAATTTTAATAATCTTTCTTTAGCGGTACTTTATGAACGAAAATTTTTACCGCAATAACAGCAATGCCTCTATTTTTCTCACAATTGGTGGAGAGCTTGCGATATCGCCGCGTTGGGTGACCAAGGGGTCTTGGATTAAATTTGCCGAACATTTTGGAGCCATGTGTTTTCATTTGGAACATCGCTTCTATGGTAAAAGTCAACCGAAAAGGTGAGAATACGTGGTTGTATCACTAAGGGTACGGTTTTGTTTGAAATGCTCAACCAATATGTATATAACTATTTATATAGTCTTTTATATTTCGGAAGTAAGACAGATAGCGGCGGAAAGGTTAGTTTAGTTCAAAATTTGATCTACAATATTTTAACAGTAAGGGTGTAAACTGCGTCGAAAAGCAAGCCGGGATTTAAATTTAAATTTAGAAAATTTAGAAAGGAACTGCAAACTGTTCCATTTAGGACTAAGAATATTATGCCAAGTATTTTCTCTACGACTAGTAAGTGAACCATAATTCAGGGAATTGTTAAAGCGATTGCCACAATATAGGTCGCGGGTAATATGGTTCTCGAAATACATTTAGAAAATTGATTTTAAAAATGGTTGGCCTTTTTATCAGAACTTGGAGTAACAGCATCAGGATATGGATGTTAGTAGTATCTAAAGGACAAAACGACAATTAAATGAGAATTAAATTATTAGAGGAATCTGAGAACTTTTCTCACTTGGCAACTATTTCCTTTGATGGCAAAATAAATCAAAGTTCTTTCTTAACAAAGTTTTCTCACAAGGCATATTAAAGGTGTAGTTTTTCTCCCCTACTATGTTTTGCAGAAATCTGAAATTAATTTTAATTAATTTTCTCTCTGTTGCAGCGATCTCTCTTATGAAAACCTAAAATTTCTTTCCTCGAAGCAAGCTTTAGCTGATGTGGCTCATTTCATCCGAAGTATGAATCAAAAATACAGCTTTAGTAGTAAGCAAAAATGGATTGTCTTTGGTGGTTCTTATCCCGGTGCATTGGCGGCTTGGGCGCGTCAAAAATATCCGCATTTGATATATGGAGCCATAAGTTCAAGTGCACCACTTTTAGCGAAAGTGGATTTTGTTGGTACGAATAAAAATAATTATTTTCTAAACCTTTCTAAAACTTGTCTTAGAGTACCTTCAGGTCGTCAAAGCCTCTTTGGCAACTCATTCCGACGACTGCTTGATGGCTTTCGGTAAGGCCTTTGCTGAGATAGAAACACTCACAAATCATGCGATCGGTCAACGAAATGTGGATGAAAAATTGAAGTAATTTTATTTTTAATTCCAACTTACGAATATTAAAAAAAAATTATGTTTTTAGTACCTGCACACCAATTGGAGAATCGGTTGCAATCGAATTAGATATGTCGAACTTCTTTCAAAAATTAGCCGATAATATTGCATTTGTGGCGCAATTCAATAAAGTCAACCGACCAGAAGCTTATCATACTATCGATGATGTGAGCAAAAAATATTATAAAATGTTCAATTTACTTGTACATATGTACATTTTAATGGTGTTTTTTTTGTAAAAGGTCTGTAATGTAATGGTCAATGAAACTATTGGAGCTCCTTTTGAACGCTTGGGCATTGTGAATGACATGGTTTTAAAGGATTTGAAGGAAAATTGTATCGATTACAAATACAACAATATGTTGACTAAAATGAGGAATATTTCTTTGTTCGCCGAAGTAGCTAACGGTACACGCCAATGGACCTATCAGACCTGCAATGAGTTCGGTTTCTATCAAACGTCGAATAATAAAAAAGACACATTCGGTGATAGATTCAAGGTGGACTTTTTCATTAAGCAGTGTATGGATATTTTTTCCGAAAGGTACGAGGATACGAAAAAATCTTTTTTACTTACCGTTAGCTCTTAATTACTCTAATTTTTAATATTTTATATAGCATGAACGCAAAATACTTGGAACAAGTTGTTTCCCAGACAAACGAATTCTATGGTGGACTTAATCCCAAGTCAACGAATGTGCTTTACGTACACGGCTCAATAGATCCATGGCATGCGCTCGGTTTGACCGCATCAAATAATCCAAATATACCCACTATTTTTATTGAAGGTACACTCTTGTTTTATCCATGTAGATAATATTGAGCATCCTACTTATATTTTATCTACATAGGTACTGCACATTGCGCCGAAATGTATGACCCTGCTAAAACTGATCCAACTCAACTTATCGAGGCACGTAATAAAATATTGAATTTTCTTGCACAGCTATTGGGGAATTCGGAGAATTGAAGTGCCTAAAAAGGCCTCATAAATGTTTTTTTTTAATAAAGTACTTATACAAAATATATTTTTATATACAACATGAATTATGTGGCATAAAATACCATCTAAAGACAAACAAAATATTTAACACTTTTTCACTCTCCATATTCTATGTTTTAAACGCAGATGTGGTTCTAATGCGTTTAGGGGATTGTTCAGTACAAATATCTGAACTCAAATCATAAATTGGTCTCATTCGTACTTACCTCAATATCTCTGGCATAACATGAGCCAACGTGATCTATGTATGTTATCGTCACATATAGTATGTCTTGTCTATTTTATACAAAAAAAAAAATGTGAATCCAAAAACGTAGACATTTTAGATAATCTTTCTACAGGTATACAAAATCCTATACCATATTCATAGAACCGTCACAGTTAAGTTCGGCAGTGATTATAATCTAAGTTAAAAACAAAATCCGTTTCCTAGGCCGCGGTGGGTACCAATTAAAACATTGTTTTTGTTATTTGTTTATTCCTCCATGTAAAATAGCATATCTTTAACCACACAGTTAATGTCCAATATTCCTATGTATAAAAGTGTGCATGCGTTCTTATTGTGTTATTCATTAAAAACTTAAACTTTGAATAGCTTTTTCGCTTAACTATAAATTTATGATTTCACTGCTTTTGAGCAATGTAGTTGTAGTTCTAGCTGTTACACAAACCAAATGAGCTGTTTGAAAGTCTTGTTCTTAAAAATCAAAATTTCATCTATTATTCAGCACAGGCTCCATCGAGTGTGTGATAAAGCGATTGTAGCGATCTTCAAACTTGTCTATATTATATTTGTGGTATATATGTATATATGTATGTAGTATTTGTTGATCTTTTATTCTTTTTATAGTAATCCGAGGATTTATTTCGAGAGACATTCTTTCGAGGCTGAGGTTAGAAAAAAGTTAATGGTGGTCTGATGCGGAGCGTACGGTGAATCCGTAAACAATTGGAAGAGCAAGAGAGATTTGACGATCGTTTTCGTTAATTTGTCACACGGGCGATTATAAGTTCGCATGGCACCGACTTTTCAACAAACTTTCACACACATACCCATACATGAACGATATTTCCAACAAATTTCATTGATATCTTTATATGGTCAGCTATCACGTTTAACCGGAATACTTTTTTTAACGTTTTGGTATTTTGTTCACAACAACATTTTTTAAAGGTTCACTGGTTTCATCATTTGCGGCACTCATATGACCTATATGGAATGTGGCAACACTATTTAGGAATGATTGCTTAGCCCGGCGCAAGGCCCAGATAATACTGATACAAAGCTAGTTTTTTGGTATCAGCAGTGTATTTTGTGTCAAAAAAATAATAATAGTTTCATTAATACGCGAAATCCTTTTCTACATATTTATCAAAATACCAAAACTTGTATCACTTAAAATACTATATGGTATCACACGTATTAATTGTTCAACAGTTGCGAAATTTATACACATATCTTTTGGAGATTGGGTCTAACTACAAAATAATTCTATTGGCTCCCTCTCATAGAAACGTCTGTGTTGAACGTTGGTTGTTGGGGTTGGTCCAGACAGCCATTAATCTGATCTGATCTATATGATCCTTTAATCGTTAAAGCCCGGTTACCAGACTACCATATTTGTAGTTGTGTGGTAGTAATATAAAACATTCACCTAATAGCTAGAAATGTTGCTGACTTAAAGTTAAACATCAACATTATCTTATGAAACTATCTATTATAGTATAGCATTGGGAATATATAATATCAAGTATACCTATTTATCAACTTGATTTATTTTTATTTTTATTACAAAAGTAACTAATAAATATGATAACATGGGTGCTAAATATGAAATTTATCTAATCAAATACAAACATATTAGCTAAATTAATAGAAAAATTGTGGATCAAATGGAAAATATGAATGAGTAGTATAGTTAACGTGCTTCCTTCGAAATATTCATAGTGCATCTTGCACATACATTTTACCATTCCTTCTTGGCCTTAGCCATCCGTTCGTGCATTCGCTTCCAATACCATTGCACGGAATCATTAGCGATTATGTGTGTATCGATAAGTTTCTTAGTATTAATATAGACCCACACGCTTACATCCCAAAGCAAAGCAAGCACACGGAAGAGGAATCTTTCAACTTGTTCGCGATCCGGTAAACTGGGTGCAGTCACATTTTGCGTCGAGCTGGTGGTTTGATGTTCTCGCTTGGCATTATCCGCATAGAAGCGCACTGCTGTCAATGTGAAGGGGGCAATTGCGTTGAATTTGATAAAATCGCTTTGTATGCGTACATTATCTGCATCAAAGAAATCGAAAGTAAAAATAGCGAAATACACACACAAACCAATAAACGATTTAATTAAATTTATAAATTGTCTATAATTACGGTGAACCAATTGCATTCGGGAACGCACGACTTACCGGTCAAACCATTTTGTATGATTGCGTTTGTAAGAACCAAATTTCTATGCTGATCCAGATTCGCCACTACACTTGGACCACTAATTCTTGCTGCAGTTGCACTAACAAGTGTTGGTGTTATTCGCATGGATTTGGAAAGTAACATTTCGCTTTATTGATTTAATTCTTTATTTGGAGTTTCGAAAATGGCGAAACGTCACTATTTTGCAATGAATAACGTCAAATCAATGGAAGAAGAATATTTTATATTTACAAAATGTCGCAGCCGGTTGGAATTGCGTTTGTTTGTCGTTGATGAGATCACTAGCGGACTGATTCAATTCGTACTTGTATGCGATTCGCTTGTGTAGCTTTTTGTCTTTGCTTACTCGCTGAGTAGTTTGGTTGAAACTTTTGTGCGTTTATGTGTTGTTTTGCCTTTTTATGTGAAAATAAGCTTTTGACAATTTCAATTTCACAATTTGCTTGTTTTCTGTCGTAAACTTTTCTTTTTTAGCTTTTGACAGTTGTGTTTCCATTTATTCAATTTAAATTTCAAAGGTTTCTTGATTTAATTATTGTGTTTTTGGAGACAAATTTGAAAAATGTGTTAACAGTTACTCAAATAAATGTTCGTATTTTAGTTGCTGGTTCATACTTAATAATTTATTTTATTGTATTAACTATTTTATGACTCTTAACGTTGTAAATTAACTATAAAAAATATTGTTTGATTCAAACAAAAAAATATTATCTTATGGAAGATAGTAAGCATTCCCATCTTAGTACAGTCAAAACTGAGCAAAGAGAACTGGGTAAGCGAGAAAACTCTATAAGTGAGAATAATTTTCAGGTCCCAAACTTTGACCTCTCAAAAGCCTTTATAAGTGAGAAACAAAAACTTCCATAAGTGACAGTCGTTTTTCCCACACTGACCTCTATAACTGAGAGCCTCTTTAGTTACAAGACCAGATTTTTTCTGCATATTATAAAAACAAAAATTAGCTTAGCACACTTTTCTGTTTTCTCAAAATCGTTGTGTTTGTTATTAATTTATTAGAAAATAATACATGTCTTTATCAGGATTTTAATTCGATTTGACGATTAAAATAGTTTCAATAATTAGGGATTTTTAATTTTAGCACTATTTTTATACATAATTTACGAAGTAACGCTGGAGTTTTTTCAAAAAAAAATCGTGTTTTTAGATTATTCAGCACCGAGTTATGAACCGCAGTTAAACTTTTTTCTGAGGCGCTTCAGTGAAAATCAAAAAGTGGGCCTTGTTTTGCACGAATTAACCCTACTCCCTAAGCAATGTACCATTTCTGTCTTAAAAAGTAAGGCGTGGGTTCTTCTTCTCATGACTCATGAGACATTCTATAAACTGGTGGAGAAGTAGAGTAATACTGTATAATTTGTTTTTCTAAAATTTTAAATTTTTTATGTATTCCACTGTCTTGAGAACTTTCAGCGCTTGTTTCGACTTTCTAAACTAACCATTCAGGTGACGAACTACCTATTTAAATGAAAACCTACCTATTTAAATGAAAATCTTCTCAAATATAAAAGTTTTCCATACAATTATTTGATTTTGATCGGGCAGTTTGTATGGCAGCTATATGCTATAGTAGTCCGATATCGGCGATTCCGACAAATGAGAAACTCCTTGGGAAGAAAAGGACGTGTGTAAACTTTCAGATCGACAACTCAAAACTGAGGGACCATTTTATTCAACTCAGCTCATTTCCAACTGGGTGTTACAAACATCCTGGCAAACTTGACATAATAAGTAATGTAACTATTCCAAAATAGTTTTTTATCGCATAATTTATTTTTATTTTAATAATTAAAATTACATTATATATTTTGTACATTAAAACTAAAGTTACAAAATAAAAATCGTTTTTTCACTAACGTAAAAAATATGTACTAATTAAATATGATTACTATTAGTAGCAGTAGCAAGCCGACATATACATCATTGAAAAATGTCATGCCAAAATTATTGCCTTTCGACAGCATTAGTGCGCTTAAAAATTGCAAATTACAAACAAAAGCTTTCGTTCGGAAAATATTAATATTCGACACATTACACACTTTGTTGGAATGGAAGATAAATGTAATGGAATGCACAAGGTTTCTTATTACAGACACAGTACTTAATTATTGTTCAAATCAATTTTTGTTTTCTTTTTTAAAAATTGTGCTGTTATACATTATTTATTAGTTATGTATGTAAAATAATTTTTCTTATTATTATTTAAATATGATTTTAATTAAATAATTTGTGTTTCAGTAGTATACTTCGTTTTTGTTGCTTTTAGTCAATAAATATTATCATTTTTGCGCATTAAACTCTTTAATTTGACCAGAGTAGCTTATTGTCAACTCCAGAGGAGTAATAATTCGATTTTGCAAACATTTTTTCCTACTTACATAACTATACATAAGCTACAAATTTCAAATTGCATTCTCCAGTAGCTTTATACATAATAATACTAACATAAACTGTATATATATTATTTAATTTGTGCATATGCCGCAAGATTTAATGATCTTGAAATTTTACAAAAGCAAAACTACTACTTGTAAAATTATTGCTCTGATGCATATGTATGTTTATATATATATATATATATAGTACCTACATCTTAGGTATGCGTAGTGGCATGGGAATGTTTGGATCAATGATCTATAATGAATACCAGTAAAACACAAGCGAGATGCACTGCTCAAATATATACGAGCATACATATTTATGTTGAAGGGATATGCATATGCAAATGCAGTGTGGTAAAGATTAACTTAAATGTAAATGTATCAACTAGTTTGAATGTAATTTTAGAAAAGCCCACAATCTCTGAGATTGTTCTTAATGATAACATCGGTGACGGCATCAAAAACAAAGCGCACATTGTTTGTGTCCGTTGCACATGTGAGATGCGTATAGATTTCTTTCTGGTCTTTTCGTTTGTTGAGACTTTCGAATTTTATACGTATATAATTGGTAGCGTCCTCATAAGTGTTGGGACCTAAAATTACGAATATAATAAGAAAGGTTTAAATATGTGTTATCATCATGAATAATTATTGACTAAACTCACCTGTATATTCTGGAAAGCAGATTGTGAGTGGAGATCTTTTGATTTTTTCTTCGAATAAATCCTTCTTATTTAAGAACAATATTATTGATGTTTCCACAAACCATTTGGAATTGCATATAGAATCGAATAATTTGAGCGATTCAATCATACGATTCATTTCTTCATCTTCGGCAAGCACCAGATCGTATCCTGTATTAAGAGATTTGGTGATTTTAGTAAAAAATATAACAAAGAAATTCGTAGGAAATCAATATAACGTAAGACTTTGGGTACATATAGAAAAATATAACACATATTTTTATGTAAAGAACTTTACTTCTTATATGATAATTAAGATCGCACAATTTCATTTAAAAACCGGTTTAACAGTGAGTCTCAAACCCCATGAATCAGTTACCGGGAAGATAAAAAAAGGACTTATGAAATTGTTATTCTTATACATATATAAACTGTCTATGTTGAGGCAAATCGTTTCCTGGACATATCGGAAAAAGTGCTGCAATTTATCATGTCACATTTCCAGGGTCTAACTAACAGGAATTGAAAACGATTATTAAAGCATATTTTCAAAACAATTTGGTGATTTTTTTGTTAAAAAAGGACATGTATAAAAAATATTCCAAAAAAAAAAAACAAAAAATCTACTAACAACGGTATTCTTGAAAAATTTAAAAATTCCAGTAAATTTTAAAGAAATAACTCGTCGTACGAAATTCCCTGACAAGACACAGTTTCAAAAAGTAGTGACAAGTAATCTGTCAGTTGCCACGCCTATTATAATATAACCTTTACTTTGACTTTCGTTAATTTGGATGATTTTGAAACAAATACTTCTGAGATATTCCAACGAAAATGGAATAAACAATCTAAATCGATTTGACTTTCACTCAAATTACTTTAGGTCAGTTTCTGTTGTACAGAAAAAACAGCAGTTCTGCTGAAGTTTAAAAAAAAGTTTCGTAGAGCCTATCGGCAGGTTCATAGTTATTAATTTATATTCCATTTAACTTACCCGACAATGCGACACAAAATATGATCGCCGTTACACCTTCGAAGCAGTGAATCCATTTCTTGCGTTCCGAACGCTGACCGCCAACATCAAACATTCTATAACACAAATCAAATATACAATTTCACAAATTATAAAAGATAAAGAAATTTACTCACTTGAAATGCATTCCTTTACATGAGAACTGTGTCTCCACAATGCCTGTGGTCTTGACGCGTGTACGCAATACATCCTCCAGTGTTGGTATGTAATTTGGCTTTGAAATTTCATCCAACAGGTTCAGGTAGTAAGCAGCCGAATCGTTCAGTTGATATTCACGTGAACGCGAAAACGACTGTTGTACACCAGCATCGGCCCAGAGTTTCTTCATAAGTAGCACGATTTCAGGTAGCAGTATACCCTCTTCCGCTGTGGAGGCATATGTAAAGAATTGACGTGCGATTTCCGTTTTCGATGGATCCGCAAAATCGATCTTCAAATGACCCATAGCACGTATGATGGCCATCATACTCTGTATGGTGTTGCTGTAGACAACGCGACGATATTGTTCGCATTCCTCTTGTGAGTAGCCCTTGTCGTGGATAATTTTCATCTGTTTGACAATGGTGGACTTGCCAGATTCGCCGGCGCCTAGAACAAAAGAGAGTTGCAAAATAAAATGTAAAATTAGCGTGATTTAAACAAATTATCGTGTGTGTGGTTTAAGAAATAATTATTTTATTAATATGTACGTAATTTTTTTCCATTATTTGGGATTAACTTACAAGGTAAAACAGTACACACAGCTTTCATAACGCATTATTTCAAAACATAATGGCATGTAAAACTCCGAACATTTTCTTAACCTTACTTAAGAGTGCTCAATAATGCTAGAGTAATTAACTTAAATCGGAGAGAAGCCGATTAAATTAATATTCGCGTTTAAGAGGAAGTTTAAAATTTTTCAAGTAATTTGTAAGGTAAAAATTATTTAGAAATGGGCTTGTTACCACAGTCTGATTTTTAAATAATGCGAAGATGTGACATGTCACTTGCCTCATTATTCCTTAGATATTTGTTTTAGATTTATCGCTTGAGCCAACTTATTGTACATAACTAAATCTATGAGCGGAAGCTTAAAAACTTACTTGAAATAATGAATCTAATATTAGCAAATACTAGTTCGGATAAGAGAAGTTTTGTGACAATTAAAAATGTTGAACATTATCTTAAACGCAAATTCACTCTCTCACTGAAATGTAGTACAACTTTTAATCAAGCCACTTTTGAATAAAAGATTAGAATTTGCCAAAACTTACGGAAAACACATAAAAAACAAGAAAAAACGTTAACTTCGGTTGCGCCGAAGCTATAATACCTTCACACAAATACAAAGGCCCTTACAAGAACTTGATTCCGAACGTTCAATTTGTATGGAGCTATATGATATAGTGATCTGATCTGAACAATTTCTGTGGAGAATAATTTGTTGCCTTACGCAATAACTCGTGAAGATATCTCATCAAATAAAATTTGCCATGCAACACTTTACTCCGATCGTTCAGTTAATATGGCAGCTATATGCTATAGTCATCCGATCTATTCAATTTCTTCGAGATTAGATTAATGCTTTAAATAATAATACATGCAAATTTCGTGAAGAATACCTCATCAAATGAAGAGTTTTTCCATACAAGCACTTCATATCGAGAGTTTAGTCCGATT